ACCCCCACCCCGCCTTTTTTAAGGATAATGAGGGTTTTCATCCATCTCGGTGTCAATGGCATAAGTGTTTTAAATGCTAAATTGTTCTTTATTTTCAATTCCAGGATATATGAGCTGCTGTTAAAAGGAATTCGCAGGAAGCTCTTAAGGGGGTTTTAGACACGGCCGAGGGAAGTGGGTGTTTTGGCTTTTGAGAGCGGTGTCAGAGCAGCCAGGATCAAAAGGCCTTGAAGTCAGTTTCGCTTCCCCTTTCCTCCTCCTATAACCGCTCAGTGCAGTGCTGAGGTCTGACGGGAATTTAAGGCCATGGCTCTCTCTCTTCTTTATCCGTCTCTCTTTATTTCCCATCTTGTTTGTGGAATATAAAAAACACAAAGAAAAACAAAGATGGAGTTGCCCAACCCTCCTCATCCATGCAGTGACTGTAGCCCATGAAACCGGTCCTCTGTGTGAGCTGTTTTTGTTCTTCCTCTGTCTCCGGATTCTTTCTGTAAGCATCTCCCTCCCTCTGTACACGCCTGTCTCTGCCCCTTTCCTTCCTCGCCAGCCCTGGTCTCCTCCGAGTCTATAAAATTTTGTGCTTTGGTGTGAAAACCATTTTTATTTTTATTTTTTCCCCTTTATAGTAACACTGTCATAAATGATTTCTCTTCATGAGCCTGACTGCCTCTGCTGAGTGCAATGTCCTTCACTGTTCTCCACTTCATGAGGCGTTTGAGGGACTTGGAATTGTTTTGTAAGGATGTGTAATATTCTATTGTGTGTATGCAGCGGAGTTTGCTTACCCATTCCTCTAGAGATGGGGTGTTGGGTGGTTTCCATCCTTTTGCTCTTATAGAAATTGCTGCAGTGAACATGGGTGTGCATGTGTCTCTCCACGTTGTGTACTTGATTTCTTTAGGGTAAATACCAAGTAGAGAGATTGCTTTTACATTTGTTTAAGGAAACACTATACTGTTTGGGTTTTGCATGTGTTTAAGAAAGCACCATACTGTTTTCCATAGTGATTGTACAATTCTGCAATCTTACCAGCAATGTATGAATGTTCAAGTCGCTCCCCATCCTCTCTAGCATTTATTGTGCTGTTTTTGTTTTTCACTGTGCTAAGAGTGTCAGTTTGAGGTGGTATTTCATTGTTTTCATTTGTAGTTTTCTTATGACTAATGAATATGACTATTTCTTCAAATGATTGTTAGCTGTCTGGATGTCATCTTTAGTAAATGGTTTATTCATATCTTGCACCCATTTTTGACTGGGTATTTGTATTTTTCATATGAAGTAGTTGTAGAGTTCTGTGGATTTTTAAAATTAGCCCTTTATCTAATATATCATTGTCAAATACCTTCCCCCAATCTGTAGGCCTTCCTAGTACTCTTTTGATGAAGTCTTTCGATGTACATAAATATATTTCTGAAAGATTCCAGTCTTCTATTTTGTCTTCTAGCACGGGTATTTTTCATTATGCTTGGTTGTATGTTTATGCCTTGTGTGAGGGTCCTTAAGTTTGTGCCTGTATTTCATTGATAGTCTTTATGGCTGTGTTAGTCTGGGTTGACTAGAGAAACAAATTCTTAGACATTCATATGTGTATAAGAAAGAGCTTTATATAAAAAGAGCAATTGTAAATTGAGAAAACATCCCAGCCCCATCCAAATCAAGTCCATACGTCCGATATTAGCCCATATGTCTGATACCAGTCTATAAATTCCTCTTCAGACCCAGAAACACATGCAATGATGCCAAATGCAGGAAGGTCATGGGCCAGTGGGTGGAAAATTCTTGTGGATCCAGTGGCAGTGGAAGCTTCTCAGCACTGGCACAGGTCTCCATGTGGGTCCTCCTGCTCCAGGGCTCTAGTACCATCAGGATAGCTCTATGTGGCTTGTCAGCAGGAAGATGAAGCCGAGAGAGTATGTGTCCCACCTCTGGGAAGGAAGACAGGAGTTCCCAGAATCCTAAAGAGAAGACCATACCCATACAGAGGCATTATTGGCTATGAGCTAATTGACAGGCTAGACTCTACCCCTTTGCAAATTGACAGAAGATTATGTAACTTCCACAGTGGCTCTAGTGTTTATATTTAGTTTGTGTTTGTACATGGTATGAGGTATAGGCCTGTTTCCTTCTTTTGCAGGTGGAGGGCCGATTCTGCCAGCACCAGGAAATGACTGTCTCTCCCCAATTCAACCTGTTGTTTTCATCCTTTATCGGGCTATGCAGTCTTCATAGATTTGAGGTCCCACATATATCTATATTACTTATTAACTTTTTCTAAGAGATATGTGGAGATATTCTCTTTTCTAAGTGGCAAGACAATAAAATTACTTATGTGAGACTTTTGGTTAAAGCAATGGAGTTTTGACCAAGTGACTCTAAGTAAAGGGGTTTTGGGTAGCTTAAGATTGGAGAGATGGGCCATCAAGAAGATGACAATAATAGGGATACAGAAAAGTCATCTCTTACCAACTACATTTTGATACCAAGCTACTTTGTCCTCTCCTTTGCTTGCACATATTTGTGCAGTGTAACTCTTCTCTTGGCCTTTTATCTGCATGGATTATTCTTTAAAAATTTTTCTTATTCTTATGTCACCAATCAGCTTATAGTCTGTATTTTCCTTTCAAATTCCAGAGGAATAACCCTGATTAGCTTAGTACCATTTCGTGTATTGAGGATGCTGATGATATTGGCCAAACCCTACATTTTCAGTCAACCAATGGCCTTTGGCAGGTACCCTTCCCATTCCCATGTAGGCCTCCCATTATTCAAAGAATAGCCTACAGCAGGCTCCTTGAACGGGTCTATGGATGATGTCGTTTCATTTAGGCTTAGAAAGTGATTATGACATATATCCTTCCATCTTCTTTTTCTAATTTTCCTGGGTTTCATTCTTCTATTTTGATAAAAAGGCTCACTATATTGTAATAAGGCATTGCTATGATTAAAAATAATCTCAGAGAATAATCAGTATACATCTTTATGACTCAGAAGAACAATGCAGTCTTTCTTTGCATGTTGAAATGCACTCCTTAAATATATTATGCTAAACCTCTTAATTATTTTCAATAATAATTAAAAGATTCTCCTGAAGACCCTTTTTTCTCTTTCTTTTCTTAAAGAAAGGTTGACTCCATACTTTGTTATCATGACTTCTCTTGTGATTCACAATGTCTGTGTGACAAAAACCAACACGCTCTTTGGGAGTTCCATTTTCCCCAATATACTGCTGAGGTTTGAAAAAAGGTTTCCAAGGTGAACTCATAATGGGAACTTTGTTAGGCAGCATTCTCTAGAGAGATAAAACCAAACTTCTGATAATTTAATATATTTATAAAAATAATTAGATATATAATAAGAAATAAACAGTTAAATTATAAAGCACTACAAATGGCTCAGGGCAACTCACGTCCGTGAGAAAGAGTTGTGAGAGACTAGCAGTCCTTCAAGTCTAGTCTGCTGCCAGATCTTCCTCTATTTGTAGAGAGAGCTAGGATATGTCAGCACAGCAGCCAATCACAAGGCAGGTCACCAACTGCCAGTCCCCAGCTCCAGAGATGTCTTAAAGGGACCTCAACTTACAGCTACACAGTCCACAGGCTAGGCGTCCCACAGGTAGTGTAGCCTTTAAATTGAGGCACAGAACAAGCAAGGCAGCCACACACTGGTCCGATGATCACAGAGTGAGAGACAAGAAAGGCGAGGCTCACCAAGCCATTTATCTCTCTGCCCTTCAGTTCATCCCACTTGTATTTATCAGCCAGGCTGGCACAATAAACTATCTCAGGAACGCTGACTAATTTTTTAGCTGCAGCCTTGTAGTAAACACAGGGACTATACCACAGCCCCCTTTGTAAAAAGATAGCATGATAGCAAAGAACAATTCAATTAACAGCGAGGAGCAGAGGGAAGTATTGTAAGATTCAACTATTTTGATTGTGTCAATGATTCCGAAGATAGATCGAAGAGCCTCTTGAAGCTGGATACAGAGACAGTTCTCCATGAACTCAGTCTCTTTTGATCACACTGGCCATAGACATTGGGCAGCAGAGAGAGATTGAGGGTGTGCTTCTTGCGCAGAGGCTAGTCTACCATCGTCCTATATTGCTAAGGCAAAGCCAGTGGTTTTCTCAGTTTTGAAAGTTAAGGGTAGAATTAAATATCCTTTCTTGAATGCTAAGAATTCTAGCACAAGTATTAAGGGAGTTGAAGATTTTTTCACTCTTTTTTTCAGTTGTGAATTGAGTGAGGATCTATGGGGCGGTCTCAAAATTCTCTCCTTTTTGTTAGAGGCATGTGTGTCTGTGTGTGTGTGTGTGTGTGTGTGCACGCACTAACATTGACATTTCCTGGCTGCCAGCTCCTTCCTCTCTCAGTCTAGGGCATATGAGCCAAAAATAAACCTAGGAACACATCATTGACTTGCTTATTCCTGCCATTCTAGGATCTGAGCCTGTCTGCCTTTTTTCTCTATCAATGAGTGTCTTGTTCTGTTTGCTTCTATGAAATGCTTATACTTTGCTGAAAGAATTGGGAAAAGTACATCAATCCCATCTTCCTGCAAGCAGAATTCCTTCAATTATCTTTCAATGTCACCATTTACGTTATTGTGCCAGCAGAGAAAATACTGTTCCCAAAGTAGATTGGGGTGTTGCGAGGCAGAACAGGAATCCTAGAGGATACCGCATGTTTCTTCAAAGGGCGGTGAGCTCTTTTTCTGTACTTGCCTCTTTGGGTTATGTTTGCGTCCTTTCCGCATGCTTTATGCTCCTGTTCTCTTTTGTTTCCTCTTAGTCAGACGGACTGCTTTCACTAAATTGTAAGAACTAAAACTTCAAGGATGCTCAAGAAGCCGGGCATCTGGATAGAGCCTCACATTTTAAAGTCTTGACAGATGACTAGATTTCATATTTTGTAAGAACCATCCCAATACTCAGCCTGCACAGTGTGCATTCTTTATGTATTTTTTGGCTAGTCAGTGGTACGTCTGCCTCTGCCAAGTATCCTGAATGCCATTCATTATGTTCCAGAGAAGTCCTGGGCTGAATCCCTGAGCAGGTCACCACTGCCCTTTCCACCTTTCCTTCCTCCCGGGAGCAGTTTTGACTTTTAGAACCAGTGGTTGGGCAGACTGTTGCTTGGCCGCTGTGATGTTATGATCCTTCCTGTCCTCAACGTATCTGTTCGGAGGCTCCCCACCTTCTCCATCCTTTCTCTGTGTCTCAGCTCTCCTGTCCTCTGAGGCAGGAGCCCTGGTGAGGCTGTGGGGATTAAGGGTGAGACTCTTAATCACTAGGTAAGAGATTCAAACCCACTAGCCCCTCACGTGGGAGAATGGTGAGGCTTTCCACTCCTGTGCACATTTACAGTGTTGGAAACTCAGTGGAGTTCCACTCTGCCTTCTAGAGTGGCTATGAAGTTGATGGCAGTGGGTGGTTTGGAATCCTTAGAGGAGAACTCTTCCTCTTCTAAGAGTTCCAAGCCCCGCCCCTTGATTCTCAGCACCCACCCCCTCCGAGGGGGCTGAAGCAGGGCCCTAAGTTGGGAAGGGTCTGGCTGCACACAGTCAGAAGGTACTGGGTAACTCGCTAGTAATTTTTTTTTTTTTACCCCCTCTGTACTCCTAGTTGCCAGGATCTTCAAATGGAGATTGCCACTCTGCAGGAGCAGATCTCCCATCTGCAGTCTGTGATTCACTCCCAACATCAGACCCTGCGCGGTGTCATCCAGGAGGTCAGACTAATCAAGTCTCTTTCTCTAGTAGATGGGATGTTTACACTGTGAAGACCAAGTACAAGTGGCTTGTCTGGACTTCAGAAGTAATGAGATTGTCCTCCCCCCTGCTGACATAACCTTTTTGTTCCACCTGCAACATGGCTGTTTTCAATGCCCTCTCTTATCGAAATGCCAGCACCTGGAAGGTTCTCAATGAAGCTAGTTTATGAAATTGGGTTTAACTGCTCTTTGGGTCTTTCCTTATTTTTAAAGTGTTGTGAACTAGAGATTGCATGCTATTCTTTAGCAGATCTTGTAGAGCAGGGACTTGGCTCTTTCAGAAGGGAAAGAAGGTTTCCATAACTTCATAAACAGTAAATTTATTTAGAAGATGGTTTGGGCCACGCAGCGAAGCCTGGCTTTACTCAGGGGGACATATTGGCAGGTGATAAAGAAGAGGAAACTGTGGTAGCAGCCAGCCAGATGATAGACCATATGAATATTTAAGATCTACTTTATGCTATATATTGATCTGGCTTTGAAGATCTGATTTAGATTTAAAATAAAATCTCCATTCTATTTTTTTTTTTTTGCAACCTAAAGTTTGTTTCCAAGTGGAAGCTTCAGACATAATTCTAATCCATTCTGGATGTGAATGCAGTTTCAGAACTCCTTGGCTATGTTCTCATCAAAGGGCCAAAGAACTGAGCCACAGGATTTGAGAGCCAGAAGGGACCTTGGTGCCATCTCACACTCACATTTTACACATGAGAAAGCTAAGACCCAGAGTGTTTCAACGATAGAGCTGGATGGTGGCCGACCTGGCCTCGGAATACATGGATCGCCACTTTACCTGGCCCACTCTGGTCATCATCCCTCTACCTCCCGACTTGACTTTCTCTTGGCAGATGTGTTGCTTCCAAAGAAAGCAGGCTTTCATTGCTGTGCCTCTGGTGGGCCAATGGCTCCAGGAAGCCTCCCTAGGCCAGGCCCTGGCTTTCCAGCACATCCACTAGCAGTTTCAGCGGCAAGATGAAAATGTGATGTGACTGAGAAACAGAAGGATTAAAGTGCTGCTCTCCACAGGGTACCCTCCTCCTGAATTTGGTTTCAGTAGACTCTCCCAAGAGCCAAATAGATAACAGAGTTGTCTGCATGCTCCTGTCCCCAGGTGTCAATCTGGGCTTGCTATTTTCTGGAGCCTCCTGAGTGTGCTAAAGCATTGGGCTTTCCACTCTCTCCTTTAACGTATTGTTTTTCCTCAGATGCAGGCACACCTGTTGCCTGACGTGATTTCTTCAATTGTGTCTCCTAATTCGTAGATGGAAGGGTTGAAAAAAAGTGTAAAAGAACAAGATAAAAGAATTGAAAATCTGAAGGAAAAAATTAAAATTCTTGAAGCTCAGGTGAGGAAAATACTGGCTGTACATATCACCGTGAGTGTATATGCATGAGCGCATGTGTGAATGTGCCCTCTGCGTGTTTGCAAATGTGTATGAGTGTGTATACGAATGCCTTTGTGTGTGTGAATGTGTTAAGGTGTTTGCAAAAGTATGTGGAAACGTGTTTGTATGAGTGTATGTTTTTACAAACGTGTGAATGTTTCACAGTGTCTTTTTGAGGGTGTGTGTGGGAATGTGTCCGTGGGATACTATTCCCATCCTATCAGTTTTTCACCTCACCCTGTGTGGGGCCAACTTGGACCACTTTAACTCCATCCTTCTTTTTTAACTTTTTAACTTTTATGATGTTCAGATATCTTTTGGCTATCATCAGGAAATGTCTGCCTAACAAATTGCAAAATAATTTGTTTCTTTCTACTTCTGCTTATCTTTCAGCTTCTTTTTAAAAATCACTTTATTGGAGGCTCATACTGCTTTTCTCACAATCCATGCATCCATCCACTGTGTCAAACACATTTGTACAAATGTTGCCATCATCGTTTTCCAAACATTTTCTTTCTACTTTCTTTCCCCATCTTCATTTATGATTTCTGCTGTGTATCTCTTATCTCGTGCATTTCTGTCCTCTGCCCACATGGGAGTACATCTTTAGAAATCACCCCATTTTATAGACTTAGAAAACTATTCTACTTTCTATAATCACCATCCTCCTTAACAATTTATGCTACTCTCAAGAGTGTGTTGAGAGAAGAGGGAGTGTGCATGAATTAGATACTTTTCCAAAACCCTGTCGATAAATTATCCTCAGAGAAAGCTGTCATCATGGCAGATATATTCTGGCCAGTGATTTGTACTATTGTAGACTAACACTTAAATCGACTTCTTGCGTTAAGTTATTAAAATAACACTAATACCTTCCTGACATAATGAAGCTTTTGTGTTCGCTTGAACTAGCTGTTCTAGTTGTAGGAAAATTTAAATCAGTCCTGAAGCAAGGATGCTATGGTGTGTTGTTGAGCCTTAATGGTGCCAGGTGACAGAGTAGAATGGTCTCACTGGCTTTTCTAGGCATTTCTCTGTCAGGAGGACAATCGCCAGGGCTTTTCTCCCTGGAGCAGTTGGTGAGCTTGAACTACCTACCTGTGAGCTCCTAGGGACCCTATAGGATGGACTAGAATGACTCCTGTGGGTTTCTGAGATTATAACTCTTCAGGGAAGCAGAAAGCCTCATCTTTCTCAACGGGTAGCAATGAGTCCGCCTCGATTGATGGCAGTTAGAGTGAACCTTTGGTCAGCTATTGAGTGCCTATCCATCGTAAATCAGGGCTCCTTAAATCAAGAATAAAGACCCAGATTTGATCAAGGAACTACAGTGATCATCCAAGTCCAAATAAGTGAAATAGTCTGACGTGATAACACTTAAATGCTTTTGGATCATTTGGTACTTGACAACTCAATGAGCTAAGGTTTGTTTTTTTGGGGGGAAATGTATACAGATACTAGGTTATTATCCAACCAGAGAATATGTGTAGTTCAACATTAGCTGTCTCCTAACAGCGTGTTGAAAATTAAAACCTAATCTTGAAAGTGGCATAGAGGGAATTTTCCGCAATTACAGACTTAGCCTATTTTATGTGACTGCCGATTGTTTGAGGGTCTACCACATTCATCTTTATTATCCCAAGGATGTATTTACTACCAATTTACCAATTTTGAGAAGCTCCTTTTGGTTGGATTTAGCTGCCTCAAATGGCTCTTGAAATATCACAGTGAAATGATTAATGTGCCCTAAGATATTGGCTTTGTTTTTAGTTATTACTCGATATGAATGTGTTCAAAGACATCAAGGGCTAAGACGAGACACAACCCCCTTCGTGGCTCTGCTCGCCTTCCCCTAGAGGTTCTGCTTCACAGGCACCCTCACAATCATCTGGGGGTACGGTCTTGGTTTTGTTCGTGAAAGAGTTTTATTGGCGCACATTTCAACTATACAATTCAATTGTTCTATTGTATTAAAGAGAGTCGCGCAATCATCTCCACAATCGATTTAGAATATTTGCTTCTTTCTTGTACTCAGTATCATCAGATCTCCACCTCCCCGCAACCTCTCCCACTATCACCCCCAAGAGTGGGTTTTGAAAGCTCTGGTGCCCAAACTACAACCGACTGACGCAGAATCTCTGGGGATGAGACTTGGCATCAGGAGACTCTAAAGCAATAGAGGCAATTGGAAGGCACCCAAAGACTGAAAGCCACTGCCTTGGTTCTCCAATTTGAGTAGGCATCGGAGTGATCTGGTGAACTTGTTAAAACAGCATCCACTGGACCTTTTGCGTTTCTGACTCAGTAGGTCTGCATTTGGGACTAAACCTTTGCATGTGTTCAAGTCTCAGCTGATGCTTATGCTGCTGGTTCCAAATGATGCTGATGTCGAGGCAGCTGGCCCTGGAATCACACTTCAAGGACCCTCAGTGCAGGTCTGCTTTTCCCCTTCTTTCCCAGCCAGTCCATTTCACCTTCTCGTCAAGGTCCCCTGTAAATGTGTATCTCCATGAAACGGCCCAAATTATGCCAGCCACACAGATTTCTGTGTGTACCTGTTATCTGGTTATTCATTACTCACTGCCTTAAGCATGATTGCGTGAGATAAACCTGCGCCACAAGACTTCCTTAGAGGGCTGAGGAACAAGGAGGTCACAGAGGATGAAAGTGCACCTGACCAAAGTCAGGGTCTTTCCAAAGGCCTCACATGCACCTGAGAGTTAGACAATGAATAAAAAAGACAGCAGAAGAACCCATGCATTTGAATTACGGTGCTGGCAATGAATATTGAAATTATTGTGGACTGCTGGAAGAAGAAACAAATCAATCCATCTTGGAAGAAGTATGGCCAGAATGTGCATTAGCGGCCAGGGTGGTGAGATTTTGTCTCACGTACTTTGGACACATTATCAGTAGGGACCAGTCCCTGGAAAAGGACATCATGCTTGATATCATCAAAAAAAAAAAAAAGGAAGGCTGTCAAGGAGATGGATTGACCCAGTATCTGCAACAATGAACTTCAACATAATGACAATTTTGGAGTCACCCCAGACCAGACAGTGTTTCCTGCTGTTATCCATTGGGTTGCTGTGACTTGTCACCGATTTGACAGTGCTTAACAACAACCTTATTTGCCTCTTGAATTGCTTATACTTATTTTTAATGTTCATATTTTGTTTTAGCACCTTTACTCTATTGTGCAGCCTGTACTCTGAAAGAGAAGATGCATCTTGTTCAACTTCACCTCCCCTCTGCCCGGCTCTGTGCTGGGGACAAACAGGAAGTCAATTCAAGTGGGGCTGGAGAGTTGTATAGACAGGTTAATGATTACAGTTTCCTGAATTTGCTTCCTTCTGTTCCTTATTTCATTCCTGGGATCCCTTCAAGATGCATTGGGCTTTGATCCACATGTGGGTTATGCATTGGGCTTCGATCCGCATGATAAGCAGTTCGAAACCACCAGCAGCTCCCTGAGAGAAAGACTGGGCTTTCTACTGCTGTCAAACGGTTCCAGTCTCAGAAGTCTACAAGAGTCGCTAGGAGTTAGCATTGACTCGGTTGCAGTGAGATTTTGGTTTTGGATCCCTTCCTTCAGCTATCACCGAGTCTATCACCCGGAGCCTCAAAGCTTTCTTATTTGTACAAGAGATGGTTATTGTTAAGTGCCACTGGTTCCTTTAGACTCACAGCTATTTCTTGTAACAGTGGGTTTTAGATTGTCACTGTTACAGGAGCAGAGAGCCAGATCTTTTCCCCCATGGAGCCACGAGAGGTATTCAAACTACCAACCTTTCTGTTAGTAGCTGAGTGCTTGATCTCTGTGCCACCGGGGCTCCCTGGAACAAGAGCAGGCTGGACTGACATCGTACAGAGAAAATACATTGACCTTGGAATCAGGTTCATAAAAAACCCACATGTTGGCATCTGCATGTGCATTTATTACCTGGAGGTAATCAGAGGTTGGTCTATTAGAGTGTCACCTGCCTTTTCTTCTTTGAAATGTGCATAGCAATAGAAGTTACATAAATTGCTTCTCTATCAGAGGAGAGATTGCCCATAAAGAGCCTGTCAAAAGGCTGCACTCCAAAGTATTAACTTCCTCACCTTCCATCAGCATGTCACAACACCTCTTTCTGCACGCCATCCAGTGCAGTGTTACTTTCTCCAAACCAGCAGGTAGAGTCATAGAAAATTAGATGGGTTTCTATGTCTGTAGTTGCTAAAAAGAGAACAGAGATGGTGAATTGCTGCTCTCTGAGAGCCGGAGGCTCACCTGTGGTCCTTGTTCTGCAGCTAGTTCTTCATAGGCGTACCCATTAAGGAGCTCTGGCAACTCAACCTTGGGCTTAGTCCTTTCCAGATGTGGCAAATGAACATCTTTGTTGTATGAGACTCAAAGTCTCTGCCATGAACAAGATGTTGAGTACTGAGCATCTCTGGGACTTCCTATGGCTTTGAGTATACAAATAGTATGAGGTGGCTTCAGAAGGCTGATGGGAGGGAAATGGAATTGAGATATAATGGACTTTTTTCCATGAACGTTTTGAAGCACCATTGTATCTGCATCAGAAAAATCATTGAAAGCTGCCTTTAAGACTTAGAATTTGTCCCAGGTGTTAAACTGGATGCTTTATCTCAAGACCTATGAAGTAGGCACTATTCTTATATCCATTACACAGCTGGCAAGATATAATCCCAGCGATGTTAAGTTACCTAAATGGGGTCACACAGCTAGTAAATAGATAGGCCAGAATCCATGCTTAAGAACTCAGACAATAATGTTTCATAATTTCAGCCATTGTATTCTCATCATTTTAAGATGGCTTCTAGATCTACACTATTTTGAGTTTATGATATTTTATTTGTTCCTTCCAGGAACATATACAAGATTGGCAGGGTGGATTATTCACCTGAAAGATAGGGATGATCAGTCACTCTGGGGGTGCAAACATTTAAGCGCTTGGCTGTTAACCGAAAAGTGAGTGGTTCTAGCTCATGTGGTAACGTCAAGGGAGACAGGATGGGTGCTCTGCCTATTTCATTAAATATTACAGGTTGAGAATCCTATGGTGCCGTTCTACTCTGTCCCCTGGGGTGGCTGTGAGTTGGACTTGACCTGATAGCACCCAACAACAACATAGGGATGAAGACTTTAAGTCATCGAGGGGCATGTTCAGGCTAAAGGTCCCATGAACAACGTAGTACAAGAGAGACGGTGCTGGTACTGACAGGCAAGAAAGAGAAACAAGTAACCAATATCATGGGTGTTATGACTAAAGTGGTTGGCAACTGTCGATAGAAAAGAAACTGGAAAACCAAGCATAGTTCAGCTGTTGGATTTCAGTGGTTAAATTAGAATGCTAAACTTGAGTGCCTTAATCTCTGAACTGTATGCCTTTTAGAGTATCTGGAAAGTCATCCTGATCTACACGGGTTCTACTTCATGACTCTCAGTAGCTGGTTTTCTGGGGTCTGAAAGCGTGCCTGTGACATGGACCTTATCCCCCACTGGTGGTGCTGGTGATGGGCTGCAGAGAACAGTGGTGGGTGTGGCCAGCAGTTGTACTATCTCATCTCTGAAATGATCATTTTTTCAATTTTAGAATAAAGAACTAAAGACCAAGGTGGCATTCTGGTCTGAGACGCCTAGGCCAACAGTCTCTAAGGCAGTGTCTACAGGGTAAGGTCTTCCCACACCGCCCCCCACCCCTTCTCATATGCCTTTACCCCCTCCATTGTATTAGTATATTTGACACGCATTCCACTTAAAAGAATTCAATCTGCATGAGTTTGTGATTAGCCTGAAATTATTTGTAAGGAGGTGGGGATAGGATATCTTTCTCTATTTCTTTTATTGGAAGGATCTCTTATTCTGTGGGCAGGGGATGGTAAGTATATGATAATGGCAGGCTGAGTTGAATTAATTTTGTTCCCTTTCCTGGTTAATAGATATTTTGGATGACAGATTAGTTTTAGCTCTTCTATTCTATATTCTGTGGCTTGCCTCGTACACATATTGCCACATACTGTGAATGAAATTGATTTTCCTGGTGGTCAGCAGGGTTCTTGACTTGATTTTGATAGAGAGAGGTTTCTCATTGTCTGTTACCAATCATCCTTAAGTTTGTCTAGATGTATGTCGTTGGCTACAAGTGAATGAACGGAACAGTATGCTGAACATTTCAAATTTTGAAAGGACACTAAGTTTTACAGGAGGCATAGCTTCTCTCCCTTGAAATGTAATTTTTCATTTGTGTTCTGAGTCTCATCAGCTCACAAGTCATGTATTCAGCAATTATTCAATGAGCACCCTCTAGAGACTTATGCTGTAGTTGGTCAAAAGCAAAACAAAAACCAACTCACTACCATCGAATCCATTCCAACTCACAGCCACCCTCTAGGACAGAGCAGAGCTGCCCCTGTGGGTCTCCAAGATGATCACTTCTGATGAGAGTCTAAAGCCCCGTCTTCTCCCATGGAGTAGTGGGGGGTCTCTTACACCCCCAGGTCTCCTGTAGTTGTACTGGGGGTGTCATGGTACATGAAACCCCTGGAGTGCCAATGACAAAGGTCCTCAAACCTTAGTAATTATAAGAACCCTGTGCTTTTCTTACTCTATGTCCACTTTTGTCCAGTGTCTCTTTGACAAACCTTCCTGGAGTTATCTGAATTAGAATGCCCCTCCCTTTCTTCCTGAGACCTCAGCTTTCTCTTGCTTCATGGGATTGAGCTTCCAGGGCAGTACACCGGCCGTTATCTTCTTTGTTCTTTTATTCCCTAGTCAGCCTAGGCTGCTAACCCTCATTCATGGTAGCCATTAGGTTTCAAGTCCTCAGAGCAGCCTTCCTTGCTCCTGGGAGTATGTCCAAGTCCTTGGGTATACACTCTCATAGCTTCCACTTTTCCATAATTATGATTACATAATTGCCATGCAACTATTTGTTTACTGTCTCTCTCTGGAAAAAGGAAGAAGCTCTTTGAAGATAAGAAATGTTTTCCATCAAATTCTCAAAGCCTGGCACGTCAATGCTTACTCATGCCACCAGGGAATACCCTTAGGACCTTATACCTTCTTCACGACCCTAGAACAGGTCCTAGCTCACCTTTAACACTCTTGCAAACATGGCCAATCATCTTTCCATCGTCCCTGGCCTTCTGTTGCTCAGATTATGTATTGCACTGACGGATAATTTACATCACGGATTCTTTGTAGTGACCTACATTTCTGTTTGTGCCTCTGAAGCCAAGGAGTCCTGGTGGCACAGCAGTTAAGCACATGGCTGCCAACGCTAAGACTGCACGTTTGAGCCCACTGGTGGCTCTCGGGGAGAAAGAGGCGGTGATCCGCCCCAACCAAGCGTCGAGCCTAGAAAATCTGATGGGGCAGCTCTGTTCTCCCACAGGGGTCCCTTTGAGTCAGAATCGACTCAACAGCACCTAACAGCAGCCCCACATCATGAGGACATAAATCGCTCATTGGGTTTCTGATCATTTCCTGCACTGCTAAGGACAAACCAAAACTAAATAATAATAAATAAAAGGTGAAGGGGGTGGTGGGGAGAACTCACTTCCATCAACTTGATTTCGACTCATCACAACCATATAAAACAGAGAGAACTACCCCTGTGGGTTTCCAAGACTGTAAATCTTTACAGGAGCAGAACACCTGATAAGAACAGCATGTTTTCTTAAAACTACCTGATGGTGAATGCATTGAAGCAATGATAATGACCAACAAAATTGGGCGAAATGATGGTTGAAACCATCTAAAGTCACTTAAAATCTTTTAACAAAATATGAAGTGGCAAAATGTGAAAAAGGACCCTTGGGATCCAGTCTCATTTCCATAATACCCTATCAAATTATTGTTTAAACAAACTTATAAATATGTGTATCATTTTTTAAATGATTTAAAACTTCCTGTTCTTAGCACATTTGCATTCTTCCTGTCTGACCCTCCTGTGAAGCATCTCATTTTCTGCATCTCTCCAGTTTTGAGCTACAATGGAGGATCCATCCCACCACGATCAGCAGCTCTCTAGGAATTCTGAGGGATTCACCACCTTCTTGAAGACTGCCTGCCTCAGTGCCTCACTTTGCTAATGATACATAGAGGTTGACACTGGGGATGAAACCATTTGACTCGCCCAGATATTTGGGCTCCAGATACTAAGTTGCCATCAGGCTGGCAACTAGCCTGGAAATGTCTAAAAGGAAAAAGAAACGAAACTTCAGAAGTCTCCACGGAAGTGGTGAAGCACTTACATTTCTGAAGCAGGGAGAGAAATAGGGTCACTTCCAAATGAGGAGAAGTAAAGGGCCTGGGATTGACTTCCCGAGGAATTTGGGAGGCTCAGTATTTGCTCCCTCCATCTCGATACAGCCCCCTCTGTGATGAGGGGGCCCCAGGGCCAGCTTCTACTGCTTTGACTTTGGCCAGATGAGGTCAAAGTGAGGAAGATGAAGGGGCAACTGATTGTCTTGACATTGTCCCTCTTCCAGCATTGGATCCCCAGACTCTGGCTGCTAAGAGGGAGTGTGCTAGAGAGAATGACTTTTAGGACTGGTTCTTTACATGCAACTTATTAAAAGTTAAAAGTCTACTGGGTTTAGAGACTTTTCTTCTCCCTTTGAATCAAGAAAGCTCAAAGAGAGAAATTTCTTCATTGGAAGTTACGAACTGAATGGACCAACCACCTGTCCTCCTTTGATTGATTTATTTTAGTAATATGCCAATGGTAATGATGCCAAGGTAGATCTCATTTGTAATATGAAGTATGGCCAACGGAGTGCTTTGAGTGAATGATGGGTTGGAAACTTTGGAATCAGAGTTGCTGGACTCTGAACAATGGAATCCTAATACTAGTGAAGAATTAAAGCAGCTGTTAAGGCAAAAATATATGTATATTTATGATGATAGCAAAATAGATCTATGTGCATATATTTATAGGTTTAGGATTAAGGTAACAGATGGACATTGGGCCTCCACTCAAGTACTCCCTCAATGCAAGAACACTGTGTTCTATTAAACTGGCATTCCATGATGCTCACCTTCCCGACACGATCGCTAAAGACAAAGTGGGTGCATAAACAAATATGGTGAAGAAAGCTGATGGTGCCCAGATATCAAAAGATGTAGTATCTGGGTTCTTAAAGGCTTGAAGGTAAACAAGTGGCCATCTAGCTCAGAAGCAACAAAGCCCACATGGAAGAAGCACGCCAGCCTGTGTGGTCACGAGGTGCCGAAGGGATCAGTTATCACGCATCAAAGAACAAAAAAATCATATCATTGAGAATAAGGGGTAGTGCGGAGTGGGGACCCAAAGCCCATCTGTAGGCAACTGGACAGCCCCTTACAGAAGGGTCACGGGGAGGAGACGACCCAGTCAAGGTGCAGTGTAGCAATGATGAAAATTACAACTTTCCACTAGTTCTTAAATGCTTCCTGCCCTACCCCCCCTACCCCCACTCTCATGATCCCTATTCTACCTTACAAATCCGGCTAGATGATAGGATGCACACTGGTACAGATAGGAACTTGAAACACAGGGAATCCAGGACAGATGATCCCTTCAGGACCAGTGGTGAGAGTGGCGATACAGGGAGGGTGGAGGGAAGATGGGGTAGAAAGGGGGAACTGATCACAAGGATCTACATATAACCCCCTCCCGGGAGACAGATAACAGAAAAGTGGGTGAAGGGAGACATCAGACAGTGTAAGACATGACAAAATTATAATAATTTATAAATGACCAAGGGCTCATGAGGGAGTGGGGGGCGGGGAGGGGGAAAATGAGGAGCTGATACCAAGGGCTCAAGTAGAAAGCAAATGTTTTCAGAATGGTGATGGCACAAAATGTACAAATGTACTTGACTCAATGGATGGATGGATGGATTGTGATGGGTTGTACGAGCCCCAAATAAAATGATTAGAATATATTCATATATGTATATTGAAAAGTTAAACTTGAAGTGTGTCTTCAATAGCTCATAGCTTTTGGTGAGGAAGTACCAATAGGGAGACTCCATTTTCTGGAAGCATTTGAACAGAGAGGGGTGTCTTGAGATGAAAACTAGAACAAGTGGTTTGCTTGCCATTAGAGGTCTTGTTGTCAAGGTGTACCCATATATCCTCATGTAAGATATACACAATATATGACGGTCCATCCCAACTTGACCTCTCTCACCAGTTACTTGATGATAATCGGATCTGATATTCTGTGTACACCAGCCTGAAATCTGGGTATATAACTAAACCAGGATCTTTGTTTTGCAGACAGCTGGAAGGGTGATTATGGAATAAGATTAAACTGGAATAGTTTTTAAAAAATGCATATAAAACAAAAATGTATAACCCCACACTTATGTGTACAGCGCACATATATATCTCCAAACCAAACTCACTGCTACCAAGTCAATTCTGACTCTCAGTGGTCCTTTGAAACAAGGTAGAACTGCCATTGTGGGTTTCCAAGACTGTTTACAGGAGTAGAAAGTCTACATTTCCTCCTAGGAACAGTTGGTGGTTTTGAACTGCTGACCTTGAAGTTAACAGCCCAATGAGTAACCACTAGGCCACCAGAACTCCTCACACAAATATAATTGTGTGCATCCTAATAGGCAGACCATGTGGATTGTTGGGTTCTGGCTCCGCTCCATTTCTGCCTCAGATACTGTCTACATGGGGTGAACTGAAGCCCAGGCTCCCTTTCTTGGCTCTGTTCCTCATCCTTGTCCTATCACAACTCACTCCCTCACTGTCATTGGGTCAATTCAAACTGCTTGAGGGCAAAACTCACCAGAATGTGATGCAAAGGGCCCTGGTGGTGTCAAGGTAAGCACTTGGCTAGTAACAGAAGAATCAGCAGTTCAAACTAACCCAACAGTTCTGCAAGAGAAAGCCCTGGAGTCAGCTCCCCCAAAAGTTAGGAATCCAGAAAACTATATGGGGCAGCTCTACTCGGTCCTACAGGGTTGCTATGAGTCGGAATCAACCTAATGACAAACAACAATAAAAACATCTCCAACAGTGATGTGGTGCTATTTATCTCACACAGAATTGGTCAGAATGAATCAATTAGGTGCCAACACTGAGACACAAACTACAGGTTGAGGTTGGGATGGATGATGGTAGTAGAAATGGCAATGGCAATAGAGCAGTCATTATATCACCCGAGCTTAATTGCTTGATTTTAATAACTGTGTTATCTTTATTACAGTGAACTGAGGACTGAAGGCACCACCCCTTATTTGATGCTGATTAGACTACGGAAATGAACTGAGTGGTGAAGATCGGACTGGAACATATCATTATGTGGTTCTTATTTATTCTTTGAAGTACAGTTCACACTTGTATGTTGAAATCGCCCACTAATTACACTAAGACATCACGAGTTTTTCCGGAACACAACATTCCAGAAAATCAAACGCATATCTAACAGAAGGAAATTTTTCTTCAAAGCTTACTAAATGGGTGAAGAAATCAGAAGTTTTCCCAGAGTAGACGTTAAGTTCTACTTTAAAGGTTTTTTTGTTTTTATCTTGTTATCAGAAGTATTTTTCAAGAGATTGGTTTAAGGTTGGCAACAATGACATTAAACTTGGTCTTTGTATACAAAGAACTATCTCTCTATGGCATACGTTCATTTCCTGACCCCATTTGAATGGGTTGCTCTGGACTACACCCGTCACTCTCCAAAGCTGAGAAGCATGACTGGCTCACCGTCCACTAACAGGTGACTAATCTTCAGATACCCACTGCCCTCGAGTGGACTGTGACTCATCAAAAGTAAAAACTCAAACCCACAGCCATCGAATCACCCTGAGGGACAGAGGAGAACTGTCCTTGTTTCTGAGACTGTAGATCTTTAGGGGAATAGAAAGCCTCATCTTTCCATGGAGTGGTTGGTGGACTCAAACTGTTGACCTTGCAAGGAGCAGCCTAATGAGTAACCCACTATGCCCCCAGCGACTCTCAGTAGGGTTTCTGAGTCTGTACATCTTTGTAAAGCGATAGCTTCATCTTTCTCCCTCAGCTTGATTGGTGGGTTTGATCTCCTGACCTTGTGGTTAGCAGTCCAACTGACCTGACAATGCCACCTGGGCTCCTGACTGATTTTTAATTGTGCTGAAGTTGAGAACTGGTTCAGAACGACAGCTTCAGGCACCCCACAAGCCTCAACATCTAGGGGTTAGGTACTGTACTCTGTGAACTTGTCTAGTTGTTCATTGTAGAGCAAGGATTTGAAACTTTTGTGAAGCATTTTATTTTTGATGTTCTAATTATTATTAACTGAATAAAAAATATTTGTGAGGAAGCTTGGTATGTAATTTTGTGAACCCAGACCTCCATAAAGATGAACAAATCTTGAGTTCAAACCAGGAGGGATCTGAATTGATGAATCGGAATGACACGGCTGGTGCTTCTGTGAATGTGAGCTTACGTTTGAATACATGCCATAATTTCAGGCAGGACTGGTGACTATTATGAGTCAAGACAAGCACTAATATGTAGGGATAAAACCCTACTGGCACTCAGGAAAGGGGAACATGCTTTAGTGAAATGAATAGAAAGGCTTGGATCATTCTCTCTGGGATCACACATCTCCTCAGGAAAGATGATTCATACCTTCCCTGAAGTGTCAGTGTTGGTAGCTATGAAATATTTAACTCACTGCCATTGATACAATGTGAGTCATAGCAAGCCTTGGGTTTCCAAGGCTGTAACTGTTTACAAGAGTAGAAAGTCCAGTCTTTCTCTCTCAGAGCTGTTGATGGTTTCGAACTTCCCACCTTGCGGATTGCAACCCAACTCTTAACCACTATACCACCAAGGCTCCATAAAATATTAAAAGGTATGTACAATTGAGATAGAGAAATGTATTTATAAAGTTCATCCAAGTACTGCAATCCTTGAAGTTGTTGCATGACTATTTATACATGTGAGTTTCATGTTTCGACCTGTCAGGTTAGTATAGATTCTGGATAATAACATTAACAGCATACTTTCCCCACCCTAGGATTGATTCGAAATGATTTTCCTGTAGCAGGTCCTTTAGCACCCCCAACAGCTCTCAAAAAGGAGGCCATGCTCTTACCCCATTTTCCAAAGGAAGAGCAGGACAGTGGTCTAGCAACCACTAGGCCAAAAAATGTAGACCAAACAAATGGTAAATAGTACTTTAAAACCACCATAGGAAGGCACCATGGATTTTATTCTAATTTAAAACTTAAAAATTCAAAGACACACCTTAGAAAATGAAAAAGCAAGTCATAGGTATAGGCTTTGTACCCAGAGAGTCTACCACTTGCCTCTCAGTTTCTTATACTGCGGTGGCTTTTATTGTTGCTGTGATATTAAAAGCGATGTCACTGGTATTTCAAATACCAGCAGAGCCACCCAAAGTGAACAGATTTCAGCAGAACTTCCAGACTCAGAACAGGCTGTGAAGAAGGAACTGGTTATCCTCGTTGGTGGAAAAGCTTACGGACAGCAGTGAAATGGGCTCAGAGACTGACGGCCCAATGACTAGAAGCAGAACATTGTCAGAGCTAGTGCCGGAAACCGAGCAGGAAGGAAGGCACTCAAAAGAAAAGCTGCCTTCTCAGAGTGGAGGCAGCCATAATGACGTGGACGGAGTATACCTTGTAGGAATGAAGCCTTTGGGGCCTTCTTTAGCGGATGAGGCATGACTAAAAGTAAGAAATAACTGAAAAAATCTACTAAAAATTAGAACTTGGAATGTACGAAATATGAATCTAGGAAATTTTGAAGTCATCAGGAATGAAATGGAACATATAAAGATTGATCTCCTTCTCAGTTTCAGTGACATGAAATGGAGTGGTATTGGCCATTTTGAATCAGAAACATAGGATTTATTATGCGGGGAATGACACAATCAAGAGAAACAGCATTGAATCTATAGTCAAAAAAGACATCAAGAGCTATTATGAAGTACAAGGCTGTCTGTGATAGCATTATATCTATCCCTATTCAAGGAAATCCAATCCATACAACTTTTATTCTCATTTATGCAGAAACCACTAAAGGGAGTGATGAAGAAATTGAGGAATTCTACCAATGTCTTCAGTCTGAAATTGATCATTTGATCAAGATGCATTGATGATTATTGGTGATTGGAATGTAGAAGTTGGAAACAAAGAGGAAGGAATAGTAGTTGGAAAATGTGGTCTTGGTGATAAAAACGAAGCTGGAGATTATAGAGTTTTGCAAGAGCAATGAATTGTTCATAGGAAATCCCTTTTTCAACAGTATAAACAGCAATTGCCAACTTGGGTTTCTCCAGAAGAAATATGCAGAAATCAAATGGAGTCAATCTGTGGGAGGAAGCAATGGAGAAGCTTAATATTAGCAGCTAAAACGAGGTCATGGGATGACTGTGGAACCGACCATCTATTACACATATGTAAGTGCAGGTTGAAGATGAGGAAAATTAAAACAAATCCACAATAATCAAAATATGGCCTTGAGTGTATACCACCCGAGTTTCAAGAAAAGCTCAAGGACAGATTTGCTGCATTGAATATTAATGGCAGAAGACCCAATGAGCTCTAGGAAAACATAAAACATATCAGTCATGAAGAAAGGAAAAGGTCATTAAACACAAGAAATAAGGAAAAGATTAAAGTTGATGTCAGAAGAGTCTCTGAAACTCTCTCTCTATCATAGAGTAGCTAAGACAAATGGAAGAAATGATGACAATAAAGAGCCGAACAGAGCATTTCAAAGGGAAGCTCTAGAAGACCAAGTAAAATATTACAATGAAATGTGCAAAGACCTAAAGTTAGAAACCCTGCAGGAAGAACATGCTCAGGAATTGGTGGAATGCCGATTCAAGGGTTTCAGCAAGTTGCTGACACCCTTGGAAATACTTACTCATTTTACCAAGAAATTTGGAAGACAGTTACTTGGTCAACTGACTAGAAGAGATCCATATCTGTACTCATTCTAAAGAAAGGTGACCCAACTGAATGCTCAAATTATAGGATCATATCATTGATATCACAGGCCAGTAAAATTTTGCTGCAGATCATACAGCCACGGTTGCAGTCATACATGGACAAGGAGCTACTTCATGTTCTGAATAGTGCATAATTATCAAAGTTGCAACTCAAATCGACTCCTTATTCTGCATTGTCCCCTTCTCTTCTTGCAGGGCCAGTGCCGAGCATACAGCTGAATCACTTTGTCAGGACCGGCCTTTTTGGTGTAGCAATCTTGTACAGGCATCTTCTAAGACAGTGGTTCTCAACCTGTGGGTCGCGACCCATTTAGGGGTCAAAAGACCCTTTCACAGGGGTCGCCCAATTCATAACAGTAGCAAAATCACAGTTATGAAGTAGCAACCAAACTAATTTTATGGTTGGGGGGTCACCACAACACGAGGACCTGTATTAAAGGGTCGCGGCATTAGAAAGGCTGAGAACCGCTGTTCTAAGAGGACCCAGGGAGGAGAAGAGGACCACGTATGTCTATGTCCACAAGCAGCACTCAGTGCCATGGAGGGTGAAGGAGCTCAGGATGTCAATTTCTCTGGAGAATCATTTAGGCAGCTTGAGGTCTCCTGTATCTTAGCTGCTAAACTGAAAAGAGTTATTCTCTTGGGGACCTGTGACAATGACCCAAGGCTATGATAGTCACAGATAAGTGATTATTATCAAAAAAGTTTCTAATGCTATAAAACAAAAATGTATTGCCTTCGAGTCAATTCCTACATAGAGTGACCCTATAGGACCCTATAGCACTGCCTTGTAGGAGTTGCAAGGCTACCATATCTATAAAAGGAGACCGCCACACCTTGAGTGGCTGGTGAGTTGGAATCATTGACCTCTCAGTTAGCATCCCAGTGCTTAACCACTATGCCACCAGGGCTTTATTATTAAAACCAAACTAACAAAAACCTCACTTCCATCAAGTTGATTCTAACTGAGAGTGACCACACAGCACAGAGTAGAACTGTCCCTAGACTGTCCATCTTGATAGGAGTAGAATTATGCATCATTCTTCTCTAAAGCGGCTGGTGGCTTTGAATGGCTCACCTTGTGGACAGCAGCCCAAGGTCCCAGCCACCAGAGCAGCAAGGCTCCTTTTGGTTGTAGTCAAATTATAATTAGTGTGTTGGCTTCCTGAACCACAATGCAAGTTGCTTAAATGAGTGTGCAAAGAAACAACATATCTCATATTCTAATTATAGTTAGTCTTCCTCCACAAGCAGCCAAACGTATTAGAAAGGAAATTCTCCTTGGTACAGAGAACACAGCACCTACACCCTGACTACAGCAATGACAACAGAAATCTCATCAGCAGGACCTACTTGCAGTTCCTGCTGTTGTTAATGTGAAGCATGCCATGACTGTCTCAGCACCAAACAACCCATTAGGAAATCAAGACCCAAATCCCTGGTGTCATATCCAGAATTACTTAAGAACACGGGGGCAAAAGAGTTTGCCTATGTGACATGGCAGTCAGAGAATGATGCCAGGGCTTTATTTGCTTGCAGTATGATAGTTGTTTATCTTTAAATTAAAAGCTCATCATTATCTTGGCATAGCCTATCGAAGTAACATATGGAGGGAGAATAGCTGGGAAAAAAGCAGTCTTTGCAAATGAACATTTTAAAGGAAACCCCTTCGTTGTAGTCTTGAGTTGGCTTTGAACATCGGTCTTTTCTCTAGTCTGAGACTTAGCGAGATACCGTCCCCAGGCTCAACAGTTCTTATTGGGGAAGAAATGAGTTTCACTATATGGAAATCCTATGTATGAGAAAATATTTCAACATATTAATTGGTTACTTTAATGAAGTTATAATTCAGATTTATTATAAAATTTCTCCTGGAAGACTCAGCATTTAAACAAATGTTAAGTGAGAAAGATTTGAAGATGAGTGAAATCATTTGGCTGAATCCAAATCGCTTCTCATTTAATAGCTCCAGTGGAGATCATTTTCATTGTAATTCAAGTTCCCCATTCCCCCCAATTTAAAGTTCCTCACTGAGCACCTATCTAACTTCAGCACAGAAATAAAGTCACTCTGAAGACACGGATGATTAATTTAAAAAATGCATTTTTTAATTTGAAAAGTGTGCAGAAAGAATCACAGAACATAGTTTTCAACCATAGTATTCAAACTCAGACAGCACAATATCATTGGATGCTATAATTTTGGAGTCACTAGAGCTTTGGTACAACGATAATGACCTAACAATGTTTGTCAGGCACCACAGTCTATTTATGGGTATATAGAATAAAAACTCCATGTTTAAAGTTTTACACATCCTTTATAGCACTATGCAAACAAAGATTTGTGCAGAAGACAGACGAAACAACCGAAAGTTCTTAACCTTCCAATAAAGGAACATTGTTTAAATTGTTGGAATACAGTGACACGTCTCAGTATCATGTCCAAACAGTATTTACTTTCAACATATTAACTAAAGCAGGAGTTAACTTTTCTTAAATGATATCAGATACCATCTGACAGCTAGCAGTATCTTTTACAAGGTTATGGACACACAACCCCTATTATACAAGAAGGATATTAAGCAAGTTATATGCTGTATAGATGGTAAGTGGCCTTTTTGAAAGAAATATGAGGACATAAAAATTGATTATTGTCAGCAATATGAGATATATTAACATTTTTCCAGCAAATACAATGATCTCAAATTAACTACTCATTTGCAGTTTCTAATACCTCTCTGAGAATTAGTACGGTATTTTACTCTTGTTATGAGACTTCTTGCGATAACAAATGTTTTAAATGGCGACTGTGTTGCTTATAGGCTGTTCTTTGCTTGTGACAGCAGTGTATGTTTATAAAACAGAACATAATTGATAAATTACTTTCTGGTATATGCCGTCATTTGAGCCTGATACTAATCTGGTGAGGTACATAGAGTTCATAGACCTTGTAGGTGCAGAGCCACTAAAGTATTTATGGACATATCCACGGTTCTCCAGTTGTTCTTTCTGGACACTTTGCTTTCTACACAATAGGATTTCTCTCTTCTGCAAGTAACATTTTGCTAAGGATAATTTTAAAATGGTTGGAGCAGCACATTGTTAAATAACTATCAGAAATTTAAACCCGATTAGAAGGGATGTGGAAACAGGGATGCCATTACTGATGTCAGATGAATCTTGCTTGAAGGCAGAACATAACAGAAAGATGTCTATCAGTGTTGTATTGACTGTGCAAAGGCATTCAACTGCAGGGATCCTAATAAATTATGCCTAAAATTGAGAAGAATGGAAATTCCAGACCACTTAATTGTCCTCTTGCAGAACCTATACATAGATCAAGAGGAAGTCATTTGAACAAAATAAGGGTAAAGGACGGAATAACGCCAGGAAAGGTGAGCATTAGGGTTGTACCACTAATGCCTCAGTAGGCTGAGCTGGAGCCCATGGAGGAAAGCACAGCATCAGGACTGGAGGAAGACTCAGTAAAATCTGCATCTTTACAGATGAGACGGTCTTGCTTGCTGAAAACCCAGAGGGCTTGAAGCATTTACTGATGAAGATCAAAGACCACAGCCTGCAGGATGGCGTACCTGCAACCTGAAGGAAACAACGCTCCTCACAACTGGACCAAGAAACAGTAGCACACCAAACAAACAAAGGATTGATGCTAAGAATTTTATTTTACTTGGGTCCATAATCAATACTCATGGAAGCAAGAGCCAAGAAATCATATGATGTATTGCACTGGGAAAATCTGCTATGCAAGACTGCTCTTAAGTGGGAAAATGCAAAGATGCCACTTTGAAAACGAAGGTGCGCGTATTCCAAGTCATTGTATTGTCAATTGCCTCATAGGCATGAGAGAGCTGAACCATGAATAAGGAAGAACAAAGAAGAATTAGTGGCTCTGAATTACGGTACTGGGAAAGAATATGACATAGATTACCCAAACAAGACACAAATTCATTCTGGAAGAAGTGTAGCCAGAATACTTAGGAGCAGGCTGGGTAGACTCTCTCTTACTATCCTGTGGACATGTCAGGCGAAGGCCATTCCTAGAGAAGGTTCTCATGCTTGGGGAAGCAGAGGGTGGGGGAGCAAAGGTCCTCAGGGAAATGGATCAGGGAAACGGATTGACACGGTGGCTGCAACAATGAAGTCAAACACAACAGCCATTGTGACAATGGTGCAAAACCCAAAGTGCTTTGTTCTCTTCTATATTGTGTTGATTTGAGTTGGGACTGACTTGATGCCACCCAACAATGACAGGCTTACTCCCAGAGAGCAATTTTTTTTTAATCTGGAAAACAGAAGGGTAAGAATAAGCATAATTAATAGCTAATGAGAGCCAGATAATATTTTGATATGCAGATATGCTGAGAGACATCAGGACAGCAGCCACAGGTTAAATAAGGAAGCTATTACATTAAGGACGGACATTTTGATGGCCATAGAATTTGTTAAGGATGCTGGTCATGCCTTCCATAGCTTGTTAGAAAGGAAAGGGATCAGGAAACCAAATGAAGCCACTCAATTTAGTGATGACTCTGGAGTGTCCATGTGTGCATGCGCGCATGTGTGCATGTACTTTTTTTTTTTACAAAGATGGCACAATTTTAGATATCCCCGCTAATTTTTAATACAGTTGTTTTGCTTTGCTTTAAATGACCTTTTCACATAGAAAGTTAGAAAACGTCTCAGCCATGGTGCGGTGGTACAAAGAACTCCCACTGGAAAAATACTCTTGGGTTTCTATTTCTTGAACGTTTAATGAAAGTGTAATTCATTTATATTTAGTAAACAAAATACTCCTTCCCTGAATTTCCCCAATTTGATGCCAATCATGACATTTGATGATCAAATATTTTTATTAGCTTAATTCTAAGGGGAGACACCTCCACTCGATTCATAAAAATCGACAAATCTGTCACAGGATCCTTGTTGGTTAGTAAACCTTGTATTCCCCTACTGAGAAACATGGTCTTTTAGATCAGAGCTCCTTTATGGTCCACCATTGTTGAATACTGCACAACCTTGATTTTTCTTCGTAGTTCTTGATCAACAACATTATTGCTGTTTGGTCTATTCAATAATTATAAGGCAATACATTTATACTATTCCCTAAATATCTAACATGTTTTAAGATCAGTTCTGCCTTCAGACATACAGCTTCAGAAACCTATATTTAGACAACCCTCATCTGCGAGAATGTATTTGTTCTCTATTTTTTGCTATGTTGAACAGATAGATCAGAACTCTACCCAGAAATCAAGTTAATATCAACTTTTTGAAGGTCAAGACAAAAATATAATTTATGCTAAAGTTTTAGACAACTCCTTCAAATATAGACAGCATCTTGGCATCTTTAAAAATGGTGACGTTTCCCCTAAAATATTCAAATACACTAGACTTAACACTTTGAAGTTTGGTAGTAGGGGGTGAAAGAAAACCTTCGATAACTTTGTCTAACATCTGCTCTCCTATCTTCCTTTTCAAAGCAAATTAAGTATCTTAGGAAAATAGGGAGACCTGAATTGCTCTTGTATTTTGTTGCTTAAATTTCAGATCAAAACCCCAAATCTATTGTTGGTGGTGGTGTTAGGTGTCATCGAGTGACCTGCAGCTCAGAGCGACCCTATCTATGTACAACAGAACAAAACAGAATGAAACACTGCCCAGTCCTGCACCCTCTTCCCTCACAGGTGCAGTGTGATCTACACGGAAGAAAGGCTAAGCCCCTATTTAAAAAGGAACAGAGACAAAGGGCAGTGAATTATCTTATTCTATGGCAAAGCATGTTGACCCTTTAAGGCTTTGGACTGCACCTAGATCTACCTTAGGGGCCCTGGTGCTTTAGTGGGTTACTAGTTGGGCTGCAGTTCAAAGTGACCAGCCACTCTTTGGGAGAAAGACGAGGCTTTCCACACCCATGCAGATTTACAGCCTTGGCAACCCCTAGGGGCAGTTTGACTCTGTCCGAAGGGATCACGATGAGTCAGAATCAACTCATTGGCAGAGTGTGAGAATTGTGCACTCTATCTACTGCACAATATTGCCTGTCTTTCTGTCAATTGCACTCATTCCACCCTGCTGCTGAGAATACATAGATGTAGATAGACATATATGTGTGCGTATGAGTTTCATCTATTTTTGATGTTCTATAGACTTGACTTGCTTTCAGCTTAAGAAATATTGTGGCTGCTATTCAATTGATTTTTGATGTAGTTATGGTCAAGTTTCTCTCTCTTCTAAAGGAGAGACAGAGGATTGATGGGAAACTTTGGCCCAACACATCTTTCCTGCACAGATGGGCAAAGACAAAAAAGAGAGAAGCACAACAATGTCCCCTGGTGACACATCGATGAGTCCCTCTAAGTCAGAAATAACGGAGACAATATGTACTTAAGAAAATATGATACCCGATAATATAGAAATCATAGCAAAGTGGCTAGTGTTTCAAAACTCCTGTGTAGACACCCACCTTTTCTCTACTGAGTCATGACTTTAGACCATCATCAGACTAAGACAAACATTGTTTTTGGACGATGGTTATTTTTAAATGATTTGATTTTTAACATTAAAAGCTAATCCTGTACCTAATTATGGTTTGAAGTCTCAAGGAATACCACCTCCCTGAGAAGCCAGCTAGGAGACCAGATGGGAGGAGTAGTGTCCAGATTCCAATAAGGTCTTTGCAACTTTCTGAAGACAGCAGAAGGCCCTTAGCAGTGTTGCCATCTCTGTGCGCGGCCATCGAAGAGAACGCTATAGAACAGGAGCCTTGTGGCTGGAGACACATTTGGTCACAGAGATATCTGAGGCACTGTGTTAGAACAATGTAAACATCAAACCAGTGTAAACTCTACAGGCATGATTTCTAGATCCCAAAAGGAGTTTCATGTACAGTGGAAATATTTGGCGAACACACAATACGATTTACGAAAGCATTCGAGGACTTAATTGGTAACAAGACAAGTCATGAGTAAAAGTTCATGCTACTGCGGGCTCAAGGGGGGGGGGGTGTCTACAATTCTTTAAAGCATCCTGTACTCTTCATGGCACAAGATCAATTTGAAATTGTAAATCGAATGATGTAGAACTGTTGATTCTAAACGAATGAGTGTGGCGCTTTCCATTAATAGTTACACAGGATAGAGAGTCAAATGTCAGACATTGTACAGAGAAAACATTTTCGTTTTAGGATCAAGTGTTTTATTTACAAATAGAATGGTATTTTAAAATGAACCTTCTTGTCTTCAATGTCATTCCTCTTGAGATTATTCCTCAATAATTATTTTTACACGGTTCTATAATTATGAGCGTCACCACCCTCTGCTTCATGCTCCAGCTACCAACTCACGTCATCTTAAAATAGACCCTCAATGAGTGCTTGCTAAATAAGTGACAGTGACAGAATCTTGGCATATGGAAATCACTCATATAGCTGGAAAAGGAAAGAACACAAGAAGATCTGTCAAAAATAGGATCCCTTTAGGGTTAGATAAAGGCCACACATTCCCTGATGGAAGCGCAGGGGACGTCGTGATTGGAGCCCAACGGGGGAAGTACTGTCATGCTCACACGTGTACCGAACTTTGCAACCCTGATGGTTATGTTGCCTCTGTTCACTTTCCTTTGAGAAGAAACATCTTCAACTCTTAGCTAATCGCTCTATCTCCATGGCTCATTGACACCAGGAGAAGTAAACACCATTGGCACCATTGGAGGTAATGCCCACCCGTGCTCAGTTTTAGATTGGCACAGTGCTGCAGAAACTGGCGAAACAAGGGAATTAACACTGAGGATTTCACAAGGCAAACCCCATTAAAGCCTCCAAATTGCTGTTATTCATGACCCATTTCTGGGCCTATTCCAACCTCAGAACATGACAAAAAGACATTTCCTTGGATGTGTCTGTGTTTCTAAAATTGACTCCAAACCTGGTGGAAGTTGGTAGAGTGGAGTTGAAAGGGGCTTGTAATTTAGGGTATCTCATGCTTTTGTAACAACATTATGCACCGAGTATGGAAAAAATGAGGTCTCGTTAGAAAGTCATATAGACAGAAGAGCCATCCAGTTGAAAAATCATCTCCTTATGAGAGAGAAAACGTGCCTTGCCTTTGCTATAGAGAACCCATGCTTTAAGTTATTGACAACGGTGACTTAGACATTGAAATAATCATCGGTTTGATAAGAATAGCTTCAGTTCACCATAAACTGAGACAAAAAAGTATTATGACATTAGTTTCGATACAAAAATAAAAAGAGGCTGATGAAAAATACTTTTGTGAGCAGTTGATTTTGAGAAGGAAAGGCAGTTTTATGTGGAAAAATACATTTTTGGTGACCCAAGCTAGATCTCTATCCTACCCAAACCCAATCCACAACTACAGTCGGGGCATGCGGATTTTGGTCTTTAATAGGCAAAATAAAACCCAATGCTCAATGTCGAGTTATAGCAGGACAAAGCCTCGTCAATTGCAAGGCAACTCCTGACGTGAAAATTCCGAGTGGCCCAATAACTGTGCCGTGATTCTTCTGAAATGGATGGCTACAAAGTCACCCATTGGTTTATCTGAACTTGACTTAGAGTCAGAGGTACAGGTCAGTCGGAAGAAAGGAATGTGATTTAAGGTTTCTTAATACTCTAATACACAAGAATGAAACCCACAATTCATAGCCATGCCTGTTTCAAAGACAGCCAGCACATTGGATCACATTAAAACATTAAACAAAATTAGTTAAGCACATTTAAACAAAAATAGTTAAGGCTAATTTTTGCAAGATAGATCAACTAAATGCAATCTCCGATGGCTCCTTGTGATAAGGAGTAGTTTGCTAAGAAACAATGTGAAAATATAATGCTAAATACGCAACCCACGTCTCAAAAGTTTGTTTGAAAAGAAAATCTCTGGGGAGTCTCTTAATCCCACCTGATAATGTCAGCCTCTCGTTGCCATGAGTGGAATTTGACTAAACCATTCCCCCAGACGTCTGAAACAGTTACATTTCATGTCAGCGGTCCAAATGCCACGCTCCCGTGTTTGCATTTTTTTCCCCCGCTGGGTCATTTTTCTTGTACCTGGTCATTCAGAGTTCTATTCTTGGCTTCCTGCTCTTTCATCAAGGAAATAAAATGGCATTATTTCACAACCCCTAACATTTTGAGAACTCCGAGATTCTTTCTCTTCTAACTTGACCAGTAATTGAGTCATTCGAATCCAGCTAACGGGTCAGAATGCCGTTCTAAATGAATCACATCAGACTCTCCCTCCTCTAGTCATTTAAACTAACGTCTCCCCCCAATGGAAACCCAAGGGCACCGATCGGAGTCTGCAGGAAAGACAGCACATCTTGAAACCAAACCCCACATGGTTAAGGATCTTTCTTTCCTCACTCTGACCAGGTGAATTTTGTTGCTGGAAATTCATGGCTTCCTCCATGTGCACTACCTTACACACTCATCTGTAGAAGGGTAACGGATCAAGCCTCCATGACTACCGTGGTTTCTTAAAATAGATTCTCTGGATGAAAAAGAAAGACATGCCCATGTTCGTGATCTACTCAGCAATTTTGAGATTGGTCACCATTTGGGAAGTTGGATTTTGGGGTTGGACTCTTGATGATCAGTTCACATGTGGATTAGCAGGCACATTTTTTGTCGGCCGGCTTCTCCCCATCAAGCTTCCCGGAGTTTCCTCCATTGGAGGTGTCGGGGACTTGTGTCTTGTCTACACACTGTTCCATTCGCTTCATTATCAAGTCCAGGAGAGTCTCCACGGCTTTCTCCACATTCTGTCCCGTCGCAGCACTGGTTTCAAAGTAGGGTATGCTGGCATAGAAAAGACGATAGATATTTTGGAGAGGAAGAAATCAGAAACAGATACATCCGATGTACACATGAGTCCCACATGGGAAATCAGCAGAGTTGTGCTGGCTAAGTTGGAAATCATCCTGGTTCTTTCTTGGTGACTGAAAACAAGTGGCCTGCTCTTTAGTGTCATCATTTTATGAGTAAGGATGCTTAGCCACGTGAGATGCAGGAACTTGAAGATCAGGCATCATCATTGTTTGAAAAACTTAGGAGGGTAATAAGCCTAGCGACCAACAATACCGTTACAATATTTCATCTTCCCTTCAACATCTAGGTATCTAATTTCTGGAAATGAGGCATGCATTACATAGTTTATTCATGTGACCACAGTCTACATGAATTTGCAATGGATCACCCAAGAATATATGTGAGTCTTTACGTTTATCAAGGAGAATATTCCAGTAAACTATTGGCAGATAGAATGGGCATGATTTAAATGGAAAGAATAATGACAAATTCTACTTTGGAAGTTAATTTACAAATGACTACACTGACTGAAGGTTCCTAACAATTATGTCTTTTTTGAACAAGCAAAGACAGTGCAACCTTGAGGGTCTCTTTACCTTTGAGCTTTATGACTGTGACAAAGGTTGCACATGCTGTTCGAGGATAAAATTATAGAAGGAACATGTGGTGAGGGCCTTAGGATGGGAATGTGTGGCTGAGAAAGAGAAAACGTTCAGTTGTGCTTGAGAAAGAGAAAACGTTCAGTTGTGCTTGGCAATTGCCTTCACATAGATTCCAATTCCTGGTGACCCTATAGGACAGGATAGAACAGTTCCCTAGGGTTTTCAAAACTGTAAATCTTTATTGGAGCAGAACAGCCTCATCTTTTGTCTGAAAAGCTTTAGGTAGATTTGAATCACTGACTTTGTGACAAGTAGCTCAGTGCCTCCCCGACTGCTTGACCAGAGCTCCTGCTGTGCTTAGTAAACTGGGCATTAAGTCAAAGTACTAGAGGCCTCTTCCATGACTTTTTGACTAGAGATCACTACCCCATTCTGTTTATTTCTTCTTTAGATGTTCCTATATTTTCTAAATTTTTCATAGGGAAATATTATATAAACACACACCTATCCATGTAAATGAGTTTAGACTAGGGTTGCCAGAACTATCAAATAAAAATACAGGAATCCCAGTTAAAGTTGAATTTCAGATAATGCATAATATTTGAGTATAAGTATGTCTCAAATATTGTATGAGATTTCTGGCTGCTTGTGAATTTGATTTTAGCTGTATTTAAGCAAGGTTAGATAAGGATTGTAAGATCCTATCCATGCCAGATATTAATCCCTGGAGTCTTACAGCTACCAATTGAGAGGAAGTAATAGATTATGGTGTTTAAGTGTATGAATTCTGACCTCGGGCTGCCTGGTTGAATAAAAGGTTCACTATTTATGAATCATGGATACTTAGCCTACATTATTGACTTAATCGCTGTGACTCAGTTATTCATCTGTAAAATGGAATAACTCTAATACCGCTGGCAATAAGAGAGGTAAATGAGTTTGACTTGGAGAGTTCTCAGTCCTAGGGCTTTCAGCCCATTCAGTCATGGTCAATGAAGTAAAATGAGAACAGATTCAGATTTTGAAAAATGGGTGAAGTGAAACATTCATGAGAGGGGCGGGGGGGGGGCATTATGTCAAAACGCTGGAATGGGAGACGCAGAAGACAAGTCATGAACCCTTCCAGGAGCCTGCTTCCGGTGATCCGATTATCACCAGGCCTATGGAGATCCACGAATAGGGACCTGGAACCGTTTTGAAACCCTGCCTAGGATTGTAATATTCAATATGTGTCAGCTGTGGCTATTAAGCAATTCAATAAAAACATTATATATATTCTCCTGGAAGATCTTTTTAATTCATATGCCCTTCTTGACTGAAGTCAGTTCTCCTAGCATAAATGTTGTGTTTCTTATCCTGTGCAGTAAACAAGGTCTGACGATATTGTAGTGTAATGAACCTACCCGTATTTGTCGGCCAGGTCTTGGGCTTGCCGTTCGTTGACTTCCCTCTGGTCTGGCAGATCTGCCTTGTTGCCAATTAATACTATGTCTGGATTTTCACAATAAGCATTCGCTTGCAGTTGGCCTTGGAAAGAAAGCAAGTAGAATCGGCCACGTTAGTTATAAACAAGTGACACCAAATGACTGCACATACTCTAAATTCCTCCTCTAATTATTCAGCTCTTACTAGCTTGGCTCAATTAACCCAGGGACTTAACTTTTCTCACCCTCAGGTTCCTCATTGCAGATTGTGAAGATGAAAATTATATATATATGCAAAGTTACAGTGACCAGTGTTCATCCTACTTTAAAAAAGAGCCTCTAGAGCAGCGGTTCTCAACCTGTGGGTAACGACCCCTTTGGGGGGGGGGGTTGTGTGTCAAAGGATCCTTTCACAGGGGTCCCCCGATAGTAGCAAAATTACAGTTATGAAGTTGCAATGAAAATAATTTCATGGTTGGTGTCATCACAACATGAGGAACTGTATTAAAGGGTTGCAGCATTCAGAAGGTTGGGAACCGCTGCTCTAAAGAAAGCCATGCTCCTTCAGAAGACATGTCTCTCAACTATGAGTAGAGATGATAGAATATGATTTTTGAAGGGTGTATATTTGCTGTCTCTTTTAGATATATTGCCCCCTCCCAAAGTCAAAAGCAGTGATTTTAAAACAGAATGCTTTGAAACCCACAAATGAGTGGAGAAACAACTTTTATATGGGCAAATTCTACCCTACTCCCCTTTTGTTCCCTCCAGGAAACATTGTTCAACCAGAGAAAGGAAAGACAGATGGGTACATAAGCAAATGTGGTGAAGAAAGCTGATGGTGCCTGGCTATCAAAATATATAGAAAAGATATATAGCATCTGGGGTCTTCAAGGCTTGAAGGTAAACAAGCGGCCATCTAGCTGAGAAGCAACAAAGCCCACATAGAAGAAGCACACCAGCCTGTGTCATCATGAGGTGTCGAAGAGATCAGGTATCAGGCATCAAAGAACAAAAAATTAAATCATTTTGAATGAGGGGGAATGCAGATTGGGGACCCAAGACCCATCTGTAGGAAACTCCCCTTACAGAAGGGTCGAGGGGAAGAGATGAGCCAGTCAGGGTACAGTGTAGCAACAATGAAACATACAACTTTCCTCTAGTTCCTAAATGCTTCCCCCACCCCCCTGCACCCCACCCCCACACTATCATGATCCCAATTATACCTTACAAATCTGGCTAGACCAGAGGATGTATACTGGTACAGATAGGAACTGGAAACACAGGGAATCTTGGATAGATGATCCCTTCAGGACCAGTGGTGAGAGTGGCAATATCGGGAGGGTGGAGGGAGGGTGGGGTGGAAAGGCAGAACCGATTACAAGAATCTACATATAACCTCCTCCCTGGGGTTGGACAACAGAAAAGTGGGTGAAGGGAGACGTCGGACAGTGTAAGATATGACAAAATAATAATTTATAAATGATCAAGCATTCATAAGGGAAGGAGGAGAGGGGAGGGTGGGGAAAAATAAAGAGCTGATACCAAGAGCTCAAGTAGAAAGCAGATGTTTTGAGAATGATGTTGGCAACACATGTACAAATGTGCTTGACACAGCGGATGGATGTATGGATTATGATAAGAGTTGTACGAGCCCCCAGTAAAATGATTTTAAAAAAGAGAGAAAAAGCAAGCAAGAAAGGAAAGGAGCCTATCAAACTGTGCTGCTGAGAGTCCATGGGCAAAGGCACTTCCATCTGTAGTTTAAGGCACACTGCGTTCGATCTTGATAGAGCCCACGGAAGAAGACAAAGACTCCTCATGTAACACTAATGATTTGAAAATGAGAAATGAGCGCAGTATTACACATGGTAGTTAGTTATCTTAAATCCCACCAATATTACTCTGGATATGAAAAACAACAACAATCAAGTCTTTCCTTTCTGGAAAAAGGACAAATGAATCATTATCCAAAAGTCCTAATCATTCAGCACCCAGTGATACCATCACAATTTAGATAAAGAACTGCAACGAAAAGAGGAAATAGAGATAGATACTAGGATAAAGACACTCATTTGAAGTAGTTAAAATGACCTCATTCCCCCCTCTCCACACATAAGTAGCTATTAGGGTACTGAATTCACATGGAGACTGGTATTATACAGCGGTGTCTCTATGCACATATGTATATATATAATGTAAAATATATTAATAAGGAAGCTTTCTCTTTTGCATACTCATATTTCTAGGCACCAGGCACCCCTCTAGCCTCTGGGCTGGATGATCTGTGCTCTCCTGGAACTCCCGTTCCAGGGGTAGAAGAGGCAAAACATGAGTAAACAGAGAAATAGGTAAAGTAATGTCAGCTGGTGGCAAGTGCGTGATCACTGAGGGATGGAGAGGGATGGAAATGGTAGTCACAAAAGGTTTCTCCAAATAGAAAAAGTCTGATCAAACGCCCAAAGGAAATGAAAGCAAGCATGGGTCAGTAAATCAGAGAGGAGCAATCCTGGCTGAGGGACAGGAAGTGCCCAGGCCCCAGGGCAGGATAGAGGCTAGGTCCACGCACAGCCGAGAGCCTGTGGGGCTGGAGCCCGGAAAGCCAGGCAAATCCAGGGAAGTAGATGGAGATGAAGCCCATGGCTGGCCTGATCTTAACTTTTCTATTTATTGAGATTCATGTAAATATTTGCCTATTTCTTAAGGTTTTCTGTTGGGTAAAGAACAATGAAAGCACTACAATAGATATTGTCCAATAAAGGAACAGAATGGTACCCTGAGCCTCTAGCACTTTCCCCCTTTGGTATAATCAAATCTACTGATCAAACACGAGAAGCAAAGGTTTTGAATGACAGCCAACCAGATAACATGTTCCAAATAAAGTACCCCTCCTCTGCCTTGTATTTTGATACTCCTCACCCTCTGGATAAGTTATGTTTAAGGACTGCTGTAGGCCTCGAGTCTAGAAGAGGTAGCATCTAGATTTTATCCTAAATGAAATGAGAAATCAAAGAAGAATTTGGGGCAGGGAGATATGATGACCCAAAGTTTGAAAAAAGGGACCATGTCTGCCCATAGACTGCCCAACACATTTGGGAACGACAGGAGTAGCACCATCCCTGTAGGACACGTAATTTTTCCTGGTGTTTATCTACCTCATTAGGACCCAATCCATATTTGTTCTAATTAAAAGTAAATGCAATCGTCTCTTTAGTGCTACATTAAAAAAAGAGAAAAGAATAGACTCTTCTCCTGCGTGTTGCTTTTAATTGGCTTTAATGAGTCAGTAGGTAACTTTCGAACTCCACATCATGTCTGAATTACCACGGAGGCTAAAGACAATTCCACAGAAGGTCTCCTCATATTTAAACATTGTGTTAAAGGCAAACCTTCGATCTGAGCTGCCTGACTGGCCTGCTTATGTTTTCTCTTCATGCCAGAGCTTTGCTCTGGAGTCGTTTATTAGCGGATAATTAATTACAGTGGTTGCCTCTTGTCAGCAGTTTCACTTTCCATGGCTTCAGTAACCCAAGGTCAACTCTGGTCTGAAAATAATTAAATTATAGGCCATTATGAGTAGCATGATGAAATCTCAGGCTCTCTGTCTCCGTCTGGGAGCCAGCTTCTCCTTCCCCAGTTTTGTGAGTGGCTGTGCTCTGACCTGCCAGGGGAAGATGGTTATCATTGCTCACCTGGGACATCGCGGATACCTGTCATAATGCATTTATAGGAAGAATCGATACACATAGGATTTGCTATTGTTTCAGGCATCTACGGGGGTGGAGTGGGGTTGGTGCTCACAGAAAGGAGGAGACTACTGAATTATTCATTCATGAACTACTCACTCACTAATGCCTATTTTTGCTTGAATCCATAATCAATGCCAATGGAAGCAGCTGTCAAGAAATCAAATGCATTACCTTGGGCAAAGCTGCTGCCAACAACCTCTTTAAATGTTTAAAGGGTGAAGATCTCACTTTGAGGACTAACATGAAACGGACTCATTCCATGGTATTTTCAATCATCTCAGGTGCATGAGAAAGCTGGGCCAAGAATAAGGAAGGCCAAAGAAAAAATTATGCTTTTGAATTATGGTGTGAGTGAAGATACCGACTGTGCTGTGGTCTGCCAGAAAAACAAACCATCTGTCGGCGAATATGGAGAGAATGCTCCTTAGAAGCCAGGATGGTGACACTTCCTTTCATGGTGGAAATGTTTATCAGGAGGGATCAGAACCTGGAGACGAACATCATGCTCGATAAAGATGAGTCAGTGAAACATAAGAAGACCCTCATCAAGATGGATTGACACAGGATCCATGACAATGGGTTCAAAGATAGCAATGATTGTGAGGATGGCACGAGATAGGGCAGTGTGTCAATCTATTGTGTATAAGGTCCCTTTGAGACAGAACTCACAAGATGGCATCTAACAGCAATAACAACTAACCTATTAGTTCTTGAAAGCACTTTAAGTTAATGTGTTTCTTGTCAAGAAACACTGTGCGTGTGTGTGTGTGTGTGTGTTGTGCCTCTCCAGGCAAGATGTAATGGATGTTGTAGCTCCAATATTTATAAGATATCCTTCAAGCCTTTTTAGACAAATGGAATGGATGGCCATTCAATCACACTGACAGAGCTTTAAATATAGGTGTAATTAACCAGTCTTAAAAAGGCTTCAAGGGAAAACACAGTTTCACGCCACCTGGGGGAACCTAGATAAATGTCCCTACTAAACTCATGACTTTCTAAAGCTAATCTGTGGGACCCATTCTAGTCATTTCTTGTAAGGCAAACAAATAAATGTAGCTGTTGGGTCCTCATGTATATTTGTAGTGCCAGAATCCAATACCAATCCCTCCGTCCCACTTACTCATCCAGTTTCTGACGTTTAAGAAGCTCTGTTGACTGGTGAGGTCAAACATTAACAAAAAGCCCATGGCATCTCGGAAGAACGCGGTGGTGAGGCTCCGAAACCTGCCAAGAGAGGAGAGTGGAGAGTTCTGCATGTTAATCCACCAACTTGTGATGCAATCAAATAAATCTTTCTTTTTCAAATTCCCAGTGTCCACAGCTCACTGCCATGAATTATCCTTTAGAATAGGGAGTGCTTGTGGAAAGCCTACTGAAAGGGCAGAAGAGGAGATTTGGTTGCACTTTTGTTTTGAATCACTTTCTGACTATATGCTCCCGTAACATTTGAACGCAGAGTTGAAACATGCAATTACAAAATCACACAGCATTTAGGACTAGCTCTTTCTTGTCCTTTCCCAAATACATTTAGGTATTTCCATTTAGAGGAAACACAGCCACCTCCAACTTCAGAATCTAACTGGTCCTGTCCCTTCTCTTAGTCTGCCAGTGGCATCACCATCCTCCCATTTGCCATAGTCTCTTCATCCACTATATACAAATAATCAACGTGAATATCTCTCTACTTGCCCAATTCTATCCATCCACTCTGTCACACCTCTGATTCTCAAAGCCATTATGTGCCACCTGGATAATTCCCACAGTCTTATAAACAGATGTGTTGTCTCCCACCCCTTGATTATATCAGGCTTCTGCTAGGAGTAGTTCAATGATGATACATTGCTCTTCATACAATGCCCAAGCTCAGAAACAGAATGACAGTGCTCTTGATGAGCTGACCCTTGGTCATCTACGCAGTTTCATCTCTTGACCATCACAGGTCTGCTGAGCTTCTTGTCATTCTTAGAAAGCTTTTTCTCTCCGCTGGACTTTCACAAATGCTGTTCCGTTGTCTTCCTGCCGACAACTTTCCCTCCCACCTCTCATCGATTTGGACAATACTCACTCACACATACTTTACGAGTATGAACAAAATGGGATTGGAAGAAATATCTATTCTAAAGCAGTCTTCCTAACTTCCAGCTTTGGGTTATATGTTCCTCCTAATGGGGTAACCTATCAGTTTTGTTTCTAGAAGTGTCCTAAAGTTATGTTGTAAGTGTTAGTTGTTGATCCAAATTCCACACCCACTGCAGGACCTAAGCAAAATGGAGTCATGCTTCCAACATGTTACGAATTATATTTATATGGTCCAGAAGCCAGTACTTGTTCACTAAATATTTTTGAAAGTGAGAAAAAGAATACCAAAGTGGATGGAATTATTAAAGGTTTAAAATTACTTTTGTAGAGATGAATGATTTTCATACCAAAGCAGAAAGATCCATTTTAACCATCATTTGTTTCCAAATTAGGTTCGTGGGTTGGTTGGGTATTGTTATGATCTAACAATGTAGACATACCAAAAAATAATTACTCATTTTTTATTGTTTGCATAAGTTCTTCCATTTGCTGGCAGCTCTTAGTGTGCTTATGAAATGTTTCCTTCTCCTTGGGAACTAGCTATATTCCTAACATTGTTTCTCACTCAACCAGAGTAGTGTGATGGCTAAGAAAATGCGTGTTCTTTTCCAAATGTGTGTATATCTCCTTTGAGGACTAAATGATGTCTTCTTCACATTTTTATTTCCACAGCATATAACAGAATTACTCAAGACATTGCATGAATCTCAGTGGTACAAATACAATTGGACCCTTTTGCTTCCATAGCAGCATGTATTGTACACACTGACACTGGACCACGCTTAGACCTTTCTGCTCAGCATCTTTGCTGTCCCGTCCAACGAGAGGGAATTGATGTCTGGCTTCATCCACTGAGCTCATTCTGATCAGTGAGTTGGTTGAGGGGGGAAAGCCAGAACCATGTAAAGAATTGTTCCTCTCTCTCTCTCTCTCTGGGGACAGAAGCTATGCCCTGTATCCTTTAGGTTTACACAAAGGGTATGGTATTTCCTGTCTCCCATGATGTCACTCTTATCAATATCCATTATCTTCTATGGGTTGGATTGCCAGATGTCCTCAGGCACTGGGTTGAGGTGTGAGACATTGTTTGTCTTGTTGCTTAGCAACCCTTTATACATACAGAATGAAAAATTCTCCAGGGATGAATAACCCAAGTGTTACTAAGAATGTCCCCAGTGTTCCCCGTTTCCCTCCTTGAGCAGCTGTCTCGAGGGGACAGATGAAAGAAGCCTGCCATCAGGCTAGGCTGACATAGCATGCGCCAGGACATATGGGAAGCACATTTTTTTTCTTATAACTTCTTCAAAAACGAGTTAAATTGGCCTATAAAACATACATCTTTGTGACAACAAAACTGACATGTCAGCAGAGCCTCTTGTGAGGAATGACTTGGGAGGAGCCAGCCGTGTTGAAGGGTGTGTGTAAATGGAATTCACAGTCAGAAAAGCTAGCAGAGAGGGCCCAGCACCTCGCCTGGCAAATCCACCCACGGAAAGTGAGAACGTTTTGGATGCATTTCAAAATCAGAAGTGTTTACCAGCGTAAACATACTAAGCTACGCGATGCAGAATGTAGAGGTATGCATCTTCTAAATATGTTCTCTGCTGATCTACGGCCACATTTTATGGCTTCGGACACTTGAAAACCTTCCACAAAAATCTTCATTCATGTAGGGTCCTCAAAACCTTGGATCCCAAAGAGATGTGTCCTCATCAATAATGGAATAACACCCTCAGTACTAGGCAATCACTTGATTTTTATCGTTGTGTGCTGTCCCCTGGTTCCTACACCAGTGATCCTAAAGAAGAGAACAGAGGGAGCAGATCACCAAGCCTCTTCTCCTGAGGAGCCTACGGTGTGGGTTCAAACCACCGACCTTCCAATTAGCAGACAAGCACTTAACCGTTGTGCCACCAAGGCTCTTTTGCTTTTGTCTACCGAGTGACAAGGTCATTAGGTGAACCATCTAGCAATTGCTAGTGACAAACATAGAAGACATGCTTATTCCAAGGTGGTGTTGAAGGAGTTTAGCAATTACAGGTATGATGAGAGAATGAGTGTTGCAGGAATTCAGAAGAAAGAGGGGCTTTCAGAGGAAGTGACCAGGTAGCAAAGCACTAAGGAAGGTGGTGAGTGGATAAAGCCATGTAGCTGGAAGACATTTGTACTCTCAGGGACGCCGAGGGTCAAGCTAGAGAGATGGTGTGCACTGGAGAGTCTCTGTGAAAGAACCGGGGACAGCAGATTGCATGCTGGAACACCACTCCCTCCCGCAACTCTCCATGAAAGTTGCACTGGGACTAGTTGAAATTCCCCATCTTCCTTCCCTTCGATGCTGTACAACTCTCTCCTGCTGGACAAGTAGGAAGGCACCGTGTCACAAGAATCCTCCTAGAGAATTCTGAAAAATCTGACTTTGGAAATCTGGGGCCAAAGACACCGTGTAAGTGACCGTTGATGAAAAGGAAGGCATGTTTCCTTCTCAGTGCAAAGGTCGAGTTTGAAACCAGGAGAAAGCTGCACGGTTCTTTTCTGTTTTAACCCCTGGTTCCCAGGGTCCATGTTACTAACATCTCTTAGTACTCGAAAAGCATGGCTGCCCCAGGTGCCCCGGAAGGAGATGCTCTCTGAACCTGAAGCATCCCCATGATTGGCTGTTGATCTGACCCTTGTGATCTGTAGGCTTTCCACTGCCTATTTTTGGAGGTAGACCATCAGGCTTTTCTGGTTCTTCTGTCTGAGTTTGGGAGGCCGCTGGAATCCGGTCAGCATCAAGTAACCACAAGCCTGGCCAGGTGACGGCAGAATCGGAGATCCGTTGGCCCAGATTTCCTTTGTAGAAGGTGAGAATTCTACCACGGACCCACCTAGGCCCTCACGTTCACATGCACCATTTATTTTAAAATAAAGCTTTCTAAGCACATAGCTGGAAAGAAAGTAATTGACTATTACCGCTCTTGTCCTGCAGTGTCCCAAAGCTGAAGATGCACTTTAAATGCTTTCCCCGAAGCTCCATTAGGTCCTTGCGTGCTATAAACCTGAAATAGACCATTTGCATCAGCTGATACTATTCTGGATTTTGTCAACATTCACATTCTCTGGGTTCACTCGGCATGTTTTTTCTCAATTACTATAATCAAAGTTCATAGTGCAGAATAAATATTTGCTCTGCCTTTCCCAAAGTATCACATACACTCACACTTTGAAATGTCAAGTACAAATACGATTTTCAACACAATTTAGGCATACTGCAAACTTAAATTAGACACCGTCTGTCATTTCCTCATGGAGGCGGCAAACAGGAGACGCAGGGCCCAAGTTCTAAGTTCAAATCCCAACTCTCCATTAACCTGTGTGAGTCTTATTACCTAACCTGTAAATGGAGACTCTTCATCCCTTTCCACATTACAGAGGTCTGCCAGTCTAAATAAAATGATCACTGTGAAAACACTTCTTTAACAAGAAAGCGTTTTACAAATGCTTGGATTACTTTTGCTGAGAGTTGGATCTGCAAGATGATTTATCTATGAAATATGCACAAAATCCCCCAGCAAGTCGGTGCAGGACATGTCAACTCCTCCTTTAGAAGCTCGCCATTTCTCTCCAGGCACCTTTGAAAAATCACTTTCGCTTTCTTTGGGTTTTTGTGTGTGACAGATTGTCTACTTTTATTGAACTAAAAGACAGTACTTTCACTATTTAATCACTCCCCCAAAATATGGTTTAGTAGAAATGGTTCAAAGGGAAAAGTTTACCAGGCCTAGTGCCCGGATCGTGGGGGTGTCGTGAGGGTGGGGTAGATAGCAGAGGAGTAGGGGCAGCACAATTTTTGGAGAGCTTAGAAGCAAATTTTCTAAGACTTCACTACAATGTATTGACTTTCAGAGAAGGTTCAGGATATTATAAGCAAGCGGATGTAACTTCTCAGGCAATGGCCTTCCTCCCACATTCCCTTTGTTTTCTCTCCCGATTCTGAAGGAATGGGTAGCTTTGTGACATCAACTGGAAGCCACAGCCCTCTTGGCAATCGGGGCTACTTTGGGTGGCAGTAAATCTGGCAAGGCTTCTGTGCCTATGCTCCATGTCTCACATGTCACAATTATCTTTGTCCTTGTCAATAGCGTCTAGCGTAGGAGAACGAAGTGGCTGTGATTCTCACTTAGAGCCCCTTCTCTTGGAAAGAAGCATGATTGGTCTCACATTCTGTTCATAGCAAACCAGTGATTGATGGCTGAGTCTACACATAAATAAAAATGCAGCAGGAAATTATAAAGCTCCTGTTCCAGCTCTTTGTCAATCATATTTTTCAGCCTCTTTCTCAAGGGTTGGGAAATAGAGCCTTGTTCCTATTGAGGAATCTAACTCAGATCAAAGAGTTAATGTGCCCTGCTTCTGAATAATTCCAGTTTAAAAAGATTCCTTTAGAATTCACAGAAAACACATTATACAGATCCACACGTTTTTTTTTTAGTGGCCCGGTAGACTTTGGGAGTGAAAAGATAGTGCCACTTAGTATTTTTCTAAGCAAGATGTTATTTATAGTTTAAAAAGAGATGCATAATATTCCAAAGTAAATGAAAGTGGCAGACTATGAATTTCATCAGATAAAAGAGAGGCACCTGGCCAAGGAGAAAGCGTCCTGCCTTTCTTCCACCGAACTTATTTTTGTCTTCAGTGTTGCTGTTGAGAACATACACAGCCAGACGCACACCAATCAACAGTTTCTACATGTAAAATTCAGCGACTTGGGTTACATTCTTTGAGTGGTGCGACCATTATTACCCCCGTTCCCGGGTTGTTCCTTCCCCTTTAACACATACTCACTGCCCTGTAAGTTTCCTATCTCACCTTCCCATCTGCTATTGTCAGTGTGATTCCACAGGGATCAACCTTGTCAAAAACCCCAACTCACTGCTCTTCAGTTGATTCCTACTCGTGGTGGCCCTAGGAGTAGTCCAGGCAGACTATTCCTGTAAAGATTTAAAGTCTCAGAAATCCAAAAGGATTTCTGTCCTATGGGGTCATCATGAGATAAACCTTAGAAGCACATCATGTCACAGGGACATATAACTTCTTGGTTGTGGGGAATCAGCAACCAAGAAAAAATTCAAGTTGAAAACTCACCACACGTTTTTCCCGAAAGTCTATTCCGACTGTTGTGATGAACTTGGGGTTGAATTTATTATCTGTGTATCTATAAAGAAACGTCGTCTTCCCCACCCCTGAATCTCCGAGGGCCAGGAGTTTGATCAGATAATCATAATCTCCATCAGTCATAGTGATGGTCTTGGTGGGCCTGTGGAAGAGAGGAAGAACAAGGGTGCTAGGACAGAAGTTTCCTTCGTCTCATATAAAAATCCAACAGACATCTAGTGTTCAAGAGTAAAATCCAAATTCCTGGTAGATTCAGAATTAACTTGTTCAGAAAAACTTTCAGGTTAAGAGTAAGCCCCTTGTTCACTCAGTACACAATTTTTTTTTACAATACATCAGTTAATATGGAACAGAAAGTCCAATGTTACTCCAAATGATTGTTGGCGCAGCGATTGTAGGACGTAAGCAAAATGTACCAGTTTGTTGTTGTTTCCATTAAACTAGAAGCCCCGGTGGCACAGTGGTTGCACACTGGGCTGCGAGCGGAAAGGTTACTAGTTCCAATTCACCAGTTCATCTTCAGGGGAAAGAGGAGGCTTTCTACTCCTATAAAGAGGTGCAGCCTCAGAAACCCACAAGGACAGTTCTACAGACAGAACTGATCAGATGGTAGGGAGTTTGTTTCTTTGAGCGACTTTTAAGGTCAGAAGTATGCTGCGATGAGAAGGAGAGAGTCACATAAAAAAAGATAAACAGAGAAATCATCCCATGGAGATGTAAGTGTGCTAGAGGCAGTCGGATATTATATATGGTCAGTGAAAAAAGCATGTCTAAGGAAATAATTTACACCGAATCCTGCAGAATAGGCTTTTCAATTGTGTGCATGCCAAATATTCCATATTTTATTTTTAAAAGTGAACAATTGGTGTGACAAAGCAATTATTAGAAACTATTTTGAAATCATGATACACATTTGAACAACCCATTACCTACTTAGTAATTGGCTAAATTTCTACTCCAGAGTCAAGGCCAATGATTTTCCCTTTGGTACAACTTTCGGTCAGTTTGTTGTACTGTGTCATTGGTGCGTCCAATACCAGCAAGGTCATCCAAGGTGAACAGGTTTCAGTGGAGCGTCCAGAATACAAACAGACTACAAAGAATGAATATACTGTCCGTTCTTGAGAAATTAGTGACTGAAATCCTTAAGAATCCATTGGAACATTCTGAGACATGGTTTGGAAAATGAGCCCCTCGGTCATAAGATAAATAAAATATGACGGAAGAAGTGCGGCCTTCTCAAAGTAAGAATTACCATAATGATCTGGATGGAAAAAAGCTCTTGGGACCTTCATTGGCTGATGGAGCATGGTTCAAAATGAAAAGAGACCGCTGTAAACATCTTTTAATAAAGGAATGTATTATGTACAAATGTAAGAAAATTGGAAGTCATCAAAAAGTATATAGTGCATGGGGCAAGTCTGGTGCCCAAGAACTCTTCAAAGTGTGGTAGAGCAAGGGTGTCACTTGGAGGACTACGGTGTGCCTGACCCAAGCTGTGGTATTTTCACACTCCTCGTATGCATGTGAAAGTAGAACATCAAATAAGGAAGGCCGAAGAAGAAGCAATGCATTTTAATGATGCCCGTGAAGAATATGAACAGTACCGTGGATTGCCAAAGGAACAAGCAAACATGCTTCAGAAGAATTACAGACAGACTGAAGTTAGGATGGCAAGGCCAGTCTCGCATGTTTTGGACATGTTATCAGTCTCGCATGTTTTGGACATGTTATCAGGAGAAGAACATCCTACTGGGTACGGTAGAAGGGCATTGATAAAGAGGAAGACCTTTGACTAGATGGACGGACACAGTGGTTGCAACAATGGGATTGAACACAATTGTGAGGACGGCACAGGACCAGGCAGTGTGTGCTTGTGTTGTACATATATTTGCCGAGTCAAAACCAGCTGGGTGGCACCTGACAACCCCCACCCCCACCTTCTGATTCATGCATTGTGAAAGTGGGAAAGTCATCATCTATGGAGAGAAAGGCCTATAAATAGATTCTAGAGTGGACTCATTCTTTTCCTGGATATGTAGGAGGAAGGAGAATTGTTCCCACCCTCGCAAAGCCCAGGATCCTTTGTTGTACTGCTTAAAAGCCCCACTCGCTCAAAGCCATCGACTTAAATCCAACTCCTGGGGACTGGGTAGGACAGGGCAGAACTGCCCCTTCTGGGCTTCCAAGGTTGTACATGTTTACAGGAGAAGAAAGCCTCATCTGTCTCCCATGGAGTGTCTGGTGTGTACGAACTGCTGATCTTTCAGTTATCTGCCCGTTTGTTACCCACTCTGCTAGCAGGGCTCCTTTCAAGAATCCCAGTGTAATTGAAATGTGATTCCGATGAGTTTGTTAGCCCCCCAAGAGGGAGTGTTGCGTAGTGGAAGGAAGCTTGCTGACTAAGCGCGATGCACCTGGGCACTTGTCAGCAGACCCGAACAAGCTGTAACTGACCTGAGCAGGCAGATGTCAAGCCTCTGGGCTGAAGCAATAGAAGGGTCTCATGAAGGGCCTTAGACGAGTACAGCCCAGAACAAATTGTCTTGGCTGCACACTGCCCTGATGAAGTTAATTCTGAACCCAAGCTGCTTTCAATGATCTCCAATTCCATTCCAATCTTGAGTTGTAACCTGTAAACTCCCCCATTCAACCACTAATGGTAAGCAGCGTTCATGAGTTCTGTGAGACATTGCAGTAAAGTGTTGAAGCCTAGGCTGGGACAATGAACACTGAGCGGTGAGGTAGCACTCCGTGTTAGAGATGAGAGAGACGTCAGCTTAAAGAAGCTGGACATTTGGGATCTCTTTAACCTCTGCTTCATAGGAGCCAGCTTTTTTCTGCTTTTTATGAAATAAATTATTCATTTAACAATAATCGGGGACTTAGCAAGTATTTAGCATACACACACATGCACAGGAGCACACATAAAAGTAGTACTAAGGTATCTCATTGCAAACCCTTTACCCCCTAGCATATCAAACTTGTACTTAATTAATGCAAGATCATGATGTCACTGCCAGGATTTGTATTCTTTATACATATGGACTCCCTCATGTTTGAATTATATTGCTGCTACTATTGAATTTATTATGGGTATATGTCTCTTTCATTCATTAATTGTTGTTGTTTTGTTTTGAGGTCGGACATTTTGAGCCCTACCAACAGGCATATATTTCAATTCTAAAAAGCTTTCTTTTCCCCAGGCCCTTCTGATACTACTAAGGAAAATGCTCATGATAGATAGTTGATGATCATGAATGCTCATTTTTTTAAAATATCTAGGCAAAGCATAATCATAACTCAGTAGGGCATGCCCAGTGGTCATCAGCAACCGGCCACCCTTAGTCCAAAGACACTAATATCTCACTGATCAACAGGAAATTCTTCTTGAAAACCATCTTGGCTTCCTTGTCTGTACCGCTAGAGAGATTAGATGAGATTATTCTTTAGTTTGGATCTTGCTGAATGTTTTATTAGGTCTCTGTAGCCGAAGGCGTTGCTGTTGATGCTTATTAGTTAAATGACATGCTGGAGAAAGTATCTGGCAAAGTACTGTTCTTGCTCCTTACTCAAGATATATGAAGCCCAGGTGAAACAGTGGGTAAATATTTGGCTTTTAACTGAAAGACTGGCAGTTCAAATCTGCCCAGTGATTCTGTAAGAGAAAGAGATGCTTATATCAGGATTATGGTCCAGAAAACTCTATAGGCCAGTTCTGCTATCACCTGGGACCACTATGCATTGGAAATGAACTAGATGGCACCCAAAAGCAGCAGCCCACGGCTGGTACCATCTCCATCAATCTGCCCTGAAATGCACTCCTCTTCAACACGTCTGTGGGGTAAGACAGCTTGCCATTTTACTACTGAACTTGGCGAAAACTGTTCATTTAATTGGGACAACAAAGAAATCAAATTTACTCTCACTAAGGTTTAAGTGATTGAAGCCAAATTCTTCTCTGGGCACAACCTTTGACTGTACTGAAGAAACTGAAGCTACTGGTTGCCTAAGTAGGCAATACAGATGAAGCATCCTTTATGAATGAAAGTAGAAAAGTCAAGAAGGTGTTTTTGTTTTGTTTTGGGGATGGTGAACTGTGGTTTCTGCAATATTCTCTTGTGACAGCATCAAGAAAGGTTAAATCATGAGCAAATCTAGTTAAATATTTACAAGACCCAATGTTCAGCCTCGTGATGTAGATTCAAATGTAATTCATACTCCAGTCCTAGCAAGAAAGACACGACTACACTCAAAAGTTAAATAAGACCACAGGAAATGCAGCATAATTTTGCAAGATGGGGCATGGTTAATGGTTATTAGAGTCAAATAGATGGTATGCTCTAAATTCAAATGACACATCAATCTTCCTGGATTGCATTGGTGCAAAGAGGCTTTAAAAAGAAAGATGAAGCTGTGTTTTACCTCATAACATAGGAAAGAATTAGATATAAAGAGGGGAGATTTAGAGTTATCATGTGGGAGATTATTTTCCACTTGTAGAATGATACTGGCACCACTTGTCAACTACATAAACTATGTGTATTCCTGATTGGCATCCAAACGGTGTCTCTGCTTCTGTTACAAAACCCTGCTTGGGGCCAACCTTGGGACCAATCCAGCTATGATCCAGAGTGAACAAGCCGGCCTACCATGGATCTATAACACGCTCATCCACACTGACTCTGTTCTATTAACGAAGAGAGGTGGACACTATGGAATTTTCACATGCAATGCATGGCAGTGTAGAAAACTTCATTTGTGTCTACAATAGACTACAGAAATTGACATACAACCTAGACCTCAAAGAATCTGCCTAGAAATCTTTTAATGTATTTTACCTTCACTTTATGAGCGAAGCAAACAAACAAAAACTCATAGCCATCGAATCAATTCTGACTCATAGTGACCCTCTCGGACAGAGTAAAACGTCCCCTGGGGTTTTCTGATGAAAGCCCCATGGCGCTAACTCATGATGCGATTGGAAAGTTCCATCTTGTTCCTGCAGAGCGGCTGGTGGGCCCAAGGCTGACCTTGAGGATTGCAGTCCAACTCAGAAGCAGGACGCCCTCTCGCGTTCCTCTGCACTTGGTGCTGTTCCTCTTTTTATTACTGTGTTATTTTCTCACTCCTAAAATCCTA